GAAGGTAATCATTTGCCCAAAACTCTCTGAACAAGTATCCAGAGCCAACTTTATCACTACTAGCATCTAAGCTGTGATAATTGACTGATGTCAGCATCAGACATCTAGTGAACATTGCTGAAAAGTACATAAATCCAATGCAATGTATGAAGCTGCCTTGTGCTGCTGCTCCTTGCAGCCAGTATCACTTACTCTGACTGGCAGCCAGGATCTCATGCAGAGAGAGGTCTTTCCCAGCCTGTTACCTGAGATCCTTTAATAAGTGATGTCAGCAATGAAGCAAGGCTCTTCCACATTTAAATAGGCCTGCCCCAAACAAGTACATGTTCCTTTAATCATATGAAGCTGCCTGGTGCTGCATTGAAAAATTGGTCCAACTTGCTTAACATTTTCTACTTTGACTGGCAGAGGTTCTCTGAGTCACAGACAGGGCTCTTAGCTCTACTCACGTCAGATCCTTTGAGATGGAGATGCTAGGAATATAAGAAGCAAGGACCTTCCACATGCAAGATGGATGTTCTACCAACACCACCAAGAGAAGACACAGGAACCCAAGAGAAGACTCGTGTTCTCTCACATGTTAGTGGGCAGTTGCATTCTTAATCCCTCAACTCCTGGACCTCAACAATTTGATCCATTGAGCCACAGGAGTGCTCTTATGTTTGTGCATTTCCCACAGGCATCTGGTCAGCCACTGTAACAACAGGATGCTGGACCAGATGGGCCATTGTCCTGATCCAGCAGGCTCTTCTTATCTTCTTCTGTTCACATGGGCATTCATAAACCACCCAATAAATCTGCCACTTTTTGTTTCTTCTCTGTCTCCCAAGTAGCCCCCTCAAACCAGTTCAATCCAACGCAACTGCTCCAACTCACTTACAATTTTGGTTTCAGCCCAGCTAAATTCAACCACTGTCGGCAGCTTCCAACTCATTAAGGGTTCTGAACTGGATTTTGTAAACTACAGGGCATCGGCTGGGCTTTGTACTACTTGCCTTGAGAACAATGAACTCAAGTCATGTGAGGACCCTGCGAGGTGAGTCACAGGTTGCGAGGCAAGATGGCACACGAACGCAGAGCAGCAGCTGTGCTCCATCACAATAGACTGGGCTTCACAACGAGGGGCGTTGGGTTTTCCCATTTGCAAGAAGCCCCTTTGTGCATCTCTCCCTCTCATGACCAAAACAAGAGGACCCATGACTGAAGTTTCTGAGTCATCGTAGAAACTCGTGGTCAGAAGATACATGGCCATCACTTCAGAACACAGCTCTTTGGGACAGGAGAAGGGAGCAGATCACTGGAGGTGACTATTTGGAAACACACCTTGTCGCCAAAAGAAACCAAATGGGAGGAAAGATTTCTGGATGCAATGGAGGAAGACCAAAATGATGCATCCAAGAGAGAGAGAGAGCCTCGGGTTTCGGTGCCTTCACATTTCATTCACAAAGAGAATTCACACTTTTGCATGGAAGCCACATGTCCCTAACTTTATCCTTGCTTAGCAGCCGGAAGAGGAGTAATTCAAAGCACATCTATCACTCTGAAAAAAACAACACTGAAAACCAGACAGGTGGGCACCTCCACAAGAAAGAAAACTCTGAGGCTTTGGTTTCTTGGTGGAATGGAAGACCCCTGTAGTCAACAGACCAACCACTGGACAGAAGTGGGGCAGGGAGAGGGGCTGGGAGGAAGCAGAATAAAGGTCCTCTTACCTGCAGCAGTTTCCCTTCGGCTGGGGTGACTTCGGCCACACTTGCGAAGACTCCTTCCAGTGTGAGGGGCTCCAGCTTCAGAGGGATCACCCGGATGATTGCCTTCTGGACCAAAGAGCGCTCGGCTTCCATGGCCGCCACCAGAGCCAGTCCTGAGTAGCCCAGGCGTATCTGCAGCGTAGCCATTAGCAGCCAAGGCCAGAGGACTGCCAGCTGTAGCTGGGGGCCAACACTCATGCTCCCAGGTGCAGCAGTGCGCTCCGGCCACACATACTGCTCAGGAATGTGTCCTCACCCCGCCAGCAGGTTCCAACAACAGGCAAAAATTGTTGAGGATTAGAAGCTCTCCGTGTGGCGGCAGCAGTCAATGGGTCAGAGGAGAAAACAGAGCAGGGTTACCTGCCATCCCTACCTCCGGGTTCTCCTTGTTTCCCCCGTGCTAGGAGGGTTTCTCCGTGCCACGTGTATGAAGGCCTCAAGCTCCACAAGATCACAAGGATCAGGTCAGGTTCTCCTCCTCCTCCTCCTCCTCCAGATGAACTCAGACGTTGTAAGCAGAACCAAGGGGGCTCGGGGAGCGTAGGGTACAAAGAGCTCTTGGGTTCTTCTGGGAAGGGTGTCAGAGCTGGTGGTTGGAGAGAGGCAGTTCCCCATGGAAAGACAATCTCTGCTTCCCAAATCCTTTTAGCCTCTTATATCCTAGGATGGCAAACAGGGCCAATCCCCTGATATCAGATGGCCTTAGCAGCCCTTGTTGACTTCTGACCAGTGAGTTACTTTTCCCATCTACTCCTCTCCAAGAACGTTAACTATTCTTGTCTCTCTCTCCTTTCCATGCCACACATGAACAGGCAATGGTGACTGGGAAGGGGCTCCATTTAGGAGTCAGAACAGTCAACCAGTTTTTTTCATGTTAAATTAAGATCACTGTCATCAGCTATGTCTTCATCTATTTCTCTCCACCTGCCTCTGGTGCCAACACCTCAGTCACCTGGTTGTGGGTATTAAAATCAATCTTCTAGGTTGGAATTTTCCACCCGTTTGTCATTTTTAATCCAGATGGTATAATCTGCAACTCCCTAAATTCATGAAAGGAACAAGACATTGCTCAGATGTTTTTCAGATCTCAGAAATTTAAAAAGGCCCCAAACAGGAAAAACAACTACAGAGAGAGACACCTGTGTGTTTTATTCCATTCCTATACGAATCTCGGAATTAATATATCCGCTTTTAGATGTGCATTACTGAAAACATGAAAGAAGGCGTCCTAAACATTAGAAAAAAAATATCCACCGGAAATCTTCATGACTGCAGAAAATCATAGACATTTATCTGCGAAAATGTTTGTTCAGTCAAGTAAAGGAGGGAAAATATTTTTTTTAAGTGGCATGCAAACCTGGTATGTAGTTTGCCTCTGAGAATCCATGGGTTTAAGTAACAGCTGGAAGGTTCACTACAAATCCTGGACAAAAAAATATTTCAGTAATCAATCAAAATGTGTGCTGAATCTTACTTACAGATTTCAGGGACTGAGGGGAGAGTGAGGAGACTTGCAGAGACATTCTATACAGGTAAATGTGAAATTCCAGTCTGAATCAGAAGGAAAAATTGACTCCAGGCTGAAGACTCGTGGGCCAGGCGTGGCGACAATCTAGCTTCCAAAGCAACCTAAAAAAAATCTTGCTAGGAATCCAGGAGCACTTCTGAAAACTCCTTTTGAGTTTGAGCAGAACAACCTCCCCTTCTTTCAGCGGATACAGTAAGCAAGTCTGAGCAGGGAGCAGGAAAGAAGTTGCTTCAAACAGCAGAAATCCAGCGGCAAACTTCGGAAGGTTGCTTTAAGGGAGAATGTGATCTTGTTCTTCAAAGGAGTAGCAGGGACCCGAGGGGTTGAGTGGACTTGGGCAGCTCTGCAGAGGTCGTGGGAGAGCTTCCTTTCCAGAACAGCACCACTGGATCAGCTCCTAGGAGGCAAAAACCCTTCCAAAAAAACCTGTGGCTCGTAGCTTGTACTCTCTGCTCTCTGCCTCCCTCCCCTGGGACTGCAAGCACTTTCTACCTGCTGACACAAAGTGAGGGTGGAGCAGCCAAAGGCAACGACCCCACCCCCTAAATCTGGTTTTCAGAGCTCCTAGACTCCCTCTCCTGATCCACAGCTAAACTGCATTCAAGTACAGCCTTCACTTCGCTTCTGACAACCGAATCATCTGTTCTATGTAAGCCAGATTTGCTCACTTCTCCCTTCCAAAGAACTGCACGCAACAAGAGCACAGATGGAAATTAAAAGTCAAATGAGTTCAGTCCAAAAAAATTGTTAGGGCTCCTTCATTTGCCAATGTAGACTAACCAGCTTCACTGTAGCACTTTAAATAGCACAGAGGCTAGTATCTGTAAGTCACTTCCACACAGGAGCAAGAATCAATTCACAGCCAGGAGAACTGTGTATCCCACAGTTTTTCTTCAGCTCTTGTTAATTTTGATTCAGGAGATGTTTCCACCACTGCCGCCACCCCACCCCATCCCGCCGTAGCCACTGCAAGGAAGATTTCAGGTCATGCTGATGTCAGAGACCTGGAATTCAACTACTGTATTATTCTCCTCTGACATCACTAAGAAGTGAGTAAGTTTGCAAGTGGGAGTTGTAACTTCTCATGTGATATACTGCACTGGGTTACAGCGTTCAGGTTACTAGAAAGTCAAGTATCCCGCAATGTACAGAAACTTGTGACAAAATCTATTTTTTCAATAAAATCAATTTAGGTACAGAGAAAAACTACATCATCTTAAATAAAAGAAGGGAAACTGCCAAGATCCAAACATTTAGCCAGCTTCACCTTTTGTACAATTGTGGCAAGCTGATATTTTTACTAAAGCTCTGTGAACTCTGTTAGTTAATTATCTGTCATTATCTAGGTTGAAAGTGTTATGTACGATGGTTTCTAATTTATTGCTTTAAATAAAGAGGAGCAATACAGAGCAACAATTTTATGCCCACAACACACCCTGTTTCTGTCCAGATCATCCAGGATGTCGGAGGCTTCCACCAACATACTAGGGGAGGTCTGCCAGTGGACATATCATTCCACTGATGTGGCTTCATCTTCAGTGGCAGGACAATACCTCCATCACTTCCTAAGGCTTCTTGGCTGTTAGATCTTTAAGACAGAACTGTACCATTACGGTAGAAGGTTACAACTCAATGGATATGCAAGTCTCCTTTCACACTTAGTGGGTGGCATGTTTTTGTAATTCACTACTCAATTTAAAACAAACTACGAAACTGTAGACTTCTTTGGAGTGGGCACTTTATTGTTTATTGACTACATACAATAGGGCTAAAACTGTGGAAACACTGAGAAGACCTATTCTGGAGAGTTAACCCTGTTCTATTAGTTTCAGCGATACTGTGCAGATTTCTATGCAGATTTCTTTAGACAGTGTGAATGTCCTTTCTCTTTTGCTATCTTACAAATGCTCAAGAGCCAGTAAAATTAAATAATTGTGCCTATAAATATGGCAGGAGATCCAGCTCCTTGGCCTCTTTGTTTCAATTAGCTCATGGACAGGAGAAAGATAATAAATACAATTTCCTAATTCCGCTTTAAAACTACAGACCCATGTGAAAGCTCTTACTTTACTGATTGCTCATAAATGACTACTAGAGAAATTTTGGAATAATCCTATGAAGGAGTGTCAAAAAATCAGTTTTGCCTGCATTAATATGGATCAATACTAGTCTGGCGCCAAACACCCATCGCTAAGCTATTTTGGATTCAAGCAACATGACTACTACAACTCTTACCATTCAGTTTCAGCATCTCAGAGACCCTGCTAGATAGTCCCTGATTACAATAGCATTTCCCAGCTCAATTTGACCTGCTTGTTTTAAAATAATACTGAATTTCAAGATGGAAAAACAAGGTTGCAGAAGACTAATTGAGGGCTATCTCAAAGTATTCAAAATATCTGGTAAGATATGCAATGGCATTTCTGAAGGAAAAGACATAACATTAAGATCTCTGTCTAATATGAGGCTCCAGCCAAGTATGTACATCTGACCTTGGTTCATCCTGCTGTTCACATGGGTACTGGGAGATAACGAATGTAAGAGAGCAATAAGCTGCAGATCTGTTTGTTCTCTCTGCTTTTTTCAAGTACTTTCTTGTGCATTTTTCACAGTGGCAGAATTTGACACTGAAAATATGAGTGAACTAGCTTAAAGCACATTCTCACCGTGCTACATCATTCACACACAAACACAAACACATATATACCAATATACTTACAACACAAATAAATAGGAGTGCAAAGACATGGCTCTTTAACATATATTATCAATAAATATAATTATGTTAAACAAGTTAAAATAGCCTGAGAAGATATATTTAAACTAAGCAATATAGTAAAACAACAATTGCCTTAACTAATTATTATAAAGTGCCTCTAGAATGAGGAAATTATTAAAACCCAAGTATGCTACATTAACATAAAATATGCAGCAGCTGTTCTCTTAGACAAGATAATATTTGCTGTTGAAAAGGAACAAATGCAAAAAAGAAGAAAACTTCCTGTGCAATCACCTAGAATATGAGCTCATCATTCTGAGTGCCTTTCTAGAATTAATGACCAATTTGGACCTCAGATTTTGAGACCTCAAGTTCCTTTGAGTTCCGTTTGTTTTGGAAAAGCCTCCACCTTTAAATGCTCTCCAAATGAATTTTAAACAGTCCTAAGGGTGGGAGAAGCTGCTGCTGCTGTTTGCTACAACACAGTGTAGACATTCCAGTGCAAAACAAAGAACATTCTGCAACTGGAACAGCTCCCTGAGAATGTTAAGTTTTTCTGTTTATCAAGAGACCATGTTTTCTACTTTTAAAGAGTTTGGGCAAATAAATCAGGAGAAATTGACCAGAAAAAATATTTAAACCTATGAAAGAGGTATAATAAAAACAATGACGGGACTATTTACATGTGAAACAAAAATGACCAGATAAGGAGAGTGTTTTGTTAATAACGAAGGAAAAGTATCCAAAGTCCTTTTGGAGTGAAAGGCACTGCTCTTCCCCAGCTGGCCACTACTCAGCATTTGCACACACTTTCCACCAAGTTCTCACTCCCTTAATTCTTCTTCCTTTGGAAAATGTTCTTGTTTGCAAGCCACATCCACTAGCAGATGTAGATCTAGGAAGAATGGAAAGGGCAATTCAATATCTGCTTTGGAGGGCACTGGAAATGCATGCTACATCTTAAGAGGCAGAAATGCGTGCTCAGGCCTTCCCTTGCCAGTTACTTTCCACATGAAACTCACCCACCAATACCTGCCTTTATCCTTGGGAGGTTCAAGCCCCATGTCAGTAAATTAAAAATGGTTCCAGAGCACTGGCAGCAGTAACAGAAGTCTGCACTCTAACCAGCTGAGCTATCCAGCCAGCCCACTCAGTAGTAACTTAGAGCAGGGCTTTCAGGGTGGCTGCCCCTGTTCTGTGGAACAGCACACAAGAGGTACGCGGGGTCTGTACATTCTAGAAGCACTTCAAGATATTTTTGTTTCTGAATCAAAAGGTCTCAGTCTTAGGTGTCCAGTTTGTATTATTTTAAAATCTATATTTCGTTGTTTTGTGTGGTTTAAATTTGTTTAGCAGTATTTATGGCATATTTGTTAACTGCCTTGAAACACTTGAAAAGGTGATACATAAATTAAACAACAACTTCTGTAGGAGCAGAGTCCCAGAGAATGATGGAGCTCTTCCTTTTTGCCAAACCCTTGTCTAGTGCAGTGCATGCCTTTCAGGGTTTGCTCTGCAAAGGATCAGGATTTCATGACACAAGAGTGTAATGTAACACATAGTTCTCCCCTACTCATCTACAATGTGATTCATGTTAAAAATGTATTACTGACGGGGCAAACAGAGATTTAACTCTGTCCCTTAATCATTGTCCAGTGATCAGCAGCAGGTCAGCAGATCCTACACTCCCTCCCCTACCTGCTTGCCTCCCATGTTTAATGTCTTCCTCAGTCACTCTGATCACTGTTAAAGGTTACACTGGAACCAAGGTTAATCACGATGCATTCTCTAACCAGGATTATTAACCAGCTTCACACCTTGATTATGAATAAACTCGTTAGCACTAACCATCTTTAACACTGAGTCCTTGCTGGGGTGTGATACATGCCCACCCCATTCCTAGGGATATATGCTCTTTCTTCCACCACCATCCCACTCCATCCCCTATGTACCCGCCCCAAAATGGTAAATTCTGTCCTTGGAGGAGAATCACTACAGCCATCATTGTGAAATTAGGCAGGCTCCATTCCCTCAGAAGGGGTGACCATACCTGCAAATTGCATTCAACTATGACAGAAAATGAAAATGTAGACTTTCCCTTTGTTTTAAAAAATCAAAGTTTAAAGGTGCTCTGCACAAAACCCCTGGATGATCTGCTATGCCTGCAAATTTTATTCAGTTCAATGAAAACGGGGGGAAAGGTATAGCCATTTTTAGAGGTGACATTATAGTGAATGTGGAGAACACAGCACCCTCAGTTTTAACAAATCTAATTCAGTCCTGAGAGACACAAAGCAACAGTCAAATCTTATGGCTGGTACACATTCCTAGTATAAAAACTGCTTTTAGTTTATGGGTACCAGATCCCATTAATCCCTATATCCAGCAAACGTTAAAATCTAATCAAGCCAACCTAGCTTCCTGTGAGGTGATGACCTGGGTGATGAGCTATTAAAGAGGCTTAAAGGGGCTTAGGGGCTCCGTGGGAGACACAAATGGTTGGGGGGGCCCTCCCTCAACAGATAAAACCAGAATTTAGGAGGGGTGTGACCTAGAAGAAAATCAGCAAGCTAGAAAGAGAGCCAAAAGCAATGTTTGGTATCTGTTTGAATCCAAGCCTGTGGCTATGGGAGAAACAAAAACCTCTTGGGGTGCTAATACTGTTAACCCTTCCATTGTAGGCTCTGGTTGTATATATGTGTAAATAAACCATATATCATACAGACACTTCAGTCTCTGCTGTGCCTCGTTCCCAAAAGAAAGCACAACCCCTGGGTATGCACCTGGAAGCCCAGGAATTTCACACAGCTCAGAGATTGAGGTGGCGCACAACAATACATTTGTTTCAACAAATCCTTAAAGCCTGCCATTCTTACCAGGGGACTTGCCCTTCTGTGAACTGCTCCTTCTTTCTCTGCATTTGGTTTGGATGGAGGAAACTGAATCTTTGGCACATTTGCTGAGAGGACCCACCTCCGAAAGGAGGAATCCTATCTGCTCTGAAGACACAACTGTCTCTGATGGATTTGTCTGACACTTGATACTGGGATCCTCCTTAAAAAAATGCACAAAAAATCCACCATGAAGTGTTCACATAAATGTCCTTTTAACAGTCCCTTGAAGATGTTACTTTACACCATATTATTTATTTGAAACATTTATATCCTGCCCTTACTTTAAGGAGACCAAGAGTACATCTTATATGTACTCAGAATTTTGTGAGCGAGATTGGACTGAGAGAAAAGGATTGTCTCAAGGTCAACCAGTGAGAGCTTTCTGGCTGAGTGGGGACTTGAACTTAAGTCTCCCCAGTCTTAGCCCACTAACCACTGTACCACACTAGCTTTCTGCATTACGTCTCTCAGCAAAACCTATACAGTGATCTAAATAGTCTATGTGACATGCAATATGGAATATTTAAGTTTATAACTTTGGAAAATGAACAATGCTGTAAATAGAAGTTATATTGGTAGTAATATAAATATTGGTTTGTCACATAAAAATATTCAGGCTAGGTTATCACTGCAGAATGTCGTACCCCTTTTCACTGCATTACACCATACCTGCGGCTGACTGAAGGGAAGTTCCTCCTGTACAAACACCATGGAAGACTGTGTTGAAGATTGGTTCAGCTGTTCTTTCAGCTTTGCTGGTGTAGGCTGCGTGGCTGCAGGCTGCTGCACTATTTGCGCTGTGGTATTCTCCACTGGTTCAGTGGTGTGGATAGTGTAAATAAACTCAGGAGACTGCGGCAAGGAGCATGCTATAGCTTGCTCTGATTCCACCACAAAGGATGTAATATCTGAGCCCACAGGTGTCAGAGGTTCTAGGTGGCTAGCCTGGCCTGAAGAAGGTGCATCATTGTTCCCCGGATTAACTAGTAACTGCTGGCCTCGGTTTGGCTGTGAAGTTGGACACTGGCTCTCCACTGGTTCCACCTTCACCATTTCCAACTTGGGGGACGAATGCATCTCATCTACAATCTGGAAGACAGCCTCCAAGTTTACTTCTGTCTTCTTGTTTTCATCAGAGGTGTTGCAGGACCAGTTAGAAGGTAGAAATTCAACAGGGTATGAAGACTGCATTGATGGGTTCTGGCAAGGTAAAGGCAACAAATATATTTATTCCATTTATCTATTTGTTTTTGGCATATATGTTATGCTCTTTCAACAATGTCAACTGGGCCCTCCACAAACAATGTTAAATGCCACCAAATCATATACAAACATGCATTAAAACCATGTTAACATTATCATTCTGGTTTGGCTTAATAATTCAAACACTTCCATTTTTCCTACCAAATGAACAATACGCCTTGTCTAATGAGGTGTAATTTATAAGTATGGAGCAGACAAGGGGCATGAAGCATTATTAACGCCTTTTGGGTTAGGAACATATGAACATGGAAAGCTTCTTATACTATGTCAGATACCCTGGTGTATCAAGATGATGATGATGATGATGATGATGATTTACAAAGATTTAGCTGGAGAAGCTGGGGATTGAACCTGATAACTTTTCAATGAGGTGTTCTACCACTGAGCTGCTGCATTTTTGATGTTCATTAAAAACAAAAATGTTTTATTTCAATACCATGAACACATCAGATGGAAAGGATTGTGGCCTGCACTGTGAGAGAAGAGAGGTAAACAGTCAAGCCAAGCCAAGTCCACCAAGTGTGTGTGTGTGTGTGTGTGTGTGTGTGTGTGTGTGTGTGTATACTGGCTGCCTCCACTAAACAGCCCTTTAGCCTTCTGGAATTTAACTGACCCATCCTGCTCCCTATACTGGGTAAAGTGGTATGGCAATGAGACATGGGATGAATAACAAGGCCTCAGACAAAATGTTTCTAAAACAAAAGACAATTTTAGTTAAGGTTTTTGTAAGGCAAAACGATTTTAGAAGAAAATGATTTTAAAAGGAAAAGTAATTTTACTTCTCTTTGAAACTTAGTTATTTGTGAGTACTTGTTTATATCAGTCATTTGGCTCCAAAACAATGTAAAGAGTTCACACACTATTCTTTCATTTATGAATTATTTAAGCAGAGACTGGATGGGCGTCTGTCAAGGAGGCTGTAGTTGTCTCTTCCATTGCAGATCTTACATTGACTTGATAACCTACAATGTCCCTTCCAGCTCTCTTATTATATGAAGTGTTTTCTTTCCATTTATTTTTCAATTTTGCAAAACAACGCTTCTTATGCATTGATATGTAGCTGAAGTAGCGAACCAGAATGAAACTCTTTTGATACACGGGCTATGATCCAAAGACATGTTCAATTTGTTCTGTATGACCAAGGAAGCTTTGGTCTTGTGTTTCTCAATCTGCAGCTCCTCTCTGGCATATAGCAAGCCACTTTTGAAACAGAGGAGAACTTCAAAAACAGCTTGCGATGCAAACATCAAAAGAGTCTGCTCTTCAAAGTCAAATATTGCATTAGGTATGCCTAAAGTGGCTCATTAGATCATGGCCAATATACTTGCTTATTTGACTCACCTGAAAATAACTGCAGTGTGTATAGGTTGAGGCAGTAGGACTAGCACAGCCACTTAAGGGATCCATGTGGGTAGGTGGAGAGCAACACTGTAATACAGCTGGAAAGGGAAAGAAAAGGTAAAATAATAATAATAAACTTTCCCAACCATTAAGAAACCTCTCTGGATTGTATTTTTAAATACATACTATAGTTCTACTAGCTCCAAACTAGCACAAAAATGCAATATTCTATCTGCACATAATGGAGAAGGAACAGCCTGGTTTCAGAGAGGTATTAAAGAGGAGGAATGCACAGCTTGGCAAAGACGTACATAGAAAGCAAAAACACAGGGTTTCAAAAATAGCAGGGTACTCTTGCCAAAAGAGAGAATAGTTTTGCTGATGTTTGCTACTATTTCCGTTTTAAAAATCCCATGCTCTACTGAAAAGTATATGGTCCTGCTCAACAATGTCTAGATTTTGACGTATGAATAAATGTCTATCTTATTTTGTGTCCAGTTTTCTTTCTTAATTTAGAAGACATTCACACCATACATGAATATAAATGATAAAACTTATTTAGAACATCAGCCAGTGGGATGAGTGAGTATGGATTTGTACTGCTTTTCACAGTGATCTTAAAAAGACACTTTACAAGGTATATAACAATCATGCAACCGTATTCCACTTTTTTGTAAACCACTTTGATGTTTCTTTGGTTTTACATCAATTTTGTTAAATAAATAAATTCCACGCTGTGCTCATGTATTATTTTTTTAGTTGCTTTTTCACTAGTGTCCTCAAGGTGGCTAACAGCACTTATAAAATACAACAGAGCTCTTCCACATTTGCTTGCACAAAGCTTACATGGAGGCTAGACTCTATCAAGTCTTTATTGGTCATGAGTTCTGATTTTGCAGAGAGGCTATGCAACATTGAAAATTCATTTTGATCTGCTTGTGAGGTGTTGCCTGTTAATCCCGTGTTCATCCCACACATTTTCCCATCACTTTTCCAATTGCAAAAAGTCAGCTTTTTTTTTTTTAAGTGGATTTCTCTCACTGGGGCAAGAGAGCCCTTTAATCCACTTTACTTGTGCAAACCTAAATTTTCTGGTATGTGCTCGAATCCCTTCAGAAAACTAACAGTTTGGAGGTGACCCAAGAACCACACCAGCCTCACTGGAGCAGGAGCAGGCATCAGAGGTCCCTTCCCACAGGGCAGTTGCTGTAATTTGGCAACCAGCTTATGTTCACAAGTGTGGTACCAGCTCAAGGGGCAATTACATTTTCCTACTATTGTAACTAGGACCGGAAAAATCCTCAAGATCCTTACTCTCCCAACAAATGAGTGGCAATTGCAAACTTATTGTGTTGTAAACAAAAGCTCTAAAATTTAAAGAACTGCTTGTCTCATCCAAACTAAAATGAAATCAGTTCACTGCTGGCATGGCAGGCTGTAATGCATTCCAAATAAGAGGCAAGTAATGAATCTAGGCTAGAGGTGCCTGCTGCAGGTAAAACCTCATGTAGATAGCCCAAGCACCATGCTCTGAATATTGGCAAACAAAGACCCCATGGGGGTTACTTCTCTATATGACCCAGAAAAACACCTTCCAAGCCCAATAATGGTGATTAACCAGACCCAGGGCTGGTTTGCACAACATTTCTACAATAAATTGCGTCCCATAGGTCAGATCTATCTGTCCCAACCTGGCTCCAGTAGTGGTACCTAAAACCCAATCTTAGCAAGGAAGCCACAAGAAGAGACGGCTGCGTACCTGCTGCTCTTCTTGGGACTCCTCCAAACAAGCCTGCTGCAGAGGGATGTGTAAGCCAGATTGTTCTGCATGTATGCTTCCAATTAGCAGATGAATCTCTTCCAAGTGAAGCATCCTTTTTTTGTTCCCACAAGAGCTGATCTGTGCATACAAACTTTCCCCCCATTATTGAATGAATGAATTAAACAATGGGGGACAAAGGTGGGAAGTATTGCAACATAATTTTCAGGTGAACAAAGGAAGAGCCATAAGCCAAGCCTGTTCCTTAGTGGGAATACACTTTGTTTAGAGTATCTAATTTTTTCTGTCCTTCTGTTGTGATATTTTTGTTAAGTTCATACTTTTGTCTCTCTGCCCATATGTAACATATTATATTGTATATGCACAACATTATTCACATAATGTCCACTGTATTTCAGAGGTCACTTCACTTTATATATTCCTTCTTCTGAATCTGGTTGTGCGCCATTGTGGTAAGATCTGAATACATCCAGGAACACTGATCAGTTGAAGTTTGTCTCCCTGCTGGGAAAGCAGCACCAATACAGCATTCCCAACCCATACACCAGAAAACAATTGCAGCAGATATGAAAAATGGTGATAGATTCCTCTGCCCACTATAATCAATTAAACCACAACTTTTGAAAAGATGAAAAAGGAGCACTATGAACCATTTTTCAAATAGCCATAAGAAAAGCCTCCAGGAAAATAAGAAGATTGGTAACGATGTCGTGTGGATGGACTGCAAAAAAATAGAAAATGAGGAATGGTGATTCCACCCTAAACGCCCTACAACAGTGTCACAAGTTTCCTTCCAAAATATATAATGAGGACAGTGGATGGGACTATGAGATGAAAAATAATCCACAATGGCCTGTGCCTTTTAACTAATGCCAGTCCAATACTTAAAAACCGTTCACCACAGAGAAAGCCTACTTAACGGTCCTGTAATCAGTGTTCAATTGCAGTGATATAAGTCTTGTATAAAGGGCCAAGCACTGTTCAAACAGGATGTATCTTTTGAAAAAAATTCAAGAAAATAAATGCCTTCTTTTTGGATTTACTTTATTTGCATTTTCTTCTTCCCACTATATATAATTTTCATCCTGGACAGACATTAGGCTTGTGGAATTTACTTTGATGAGAAATCCACCAAATCCTGCAACTAGATAAAGGTACAAAATTGTGCCTGTGAAGGAAGCCAGATTCAAAGTAGTGGCCCATGGGGCAGAGTAAATGGTCTACCCTATAATCCATGAGCCCTACACTTGAATACCCTACGTAAGTATCATTCTATATCTGAATTACTACAGATCAGAGCTTTTTTTTTTTAGGTGAGGAGGGCGTCGGTCTGCTCTTGCTATTGTTAAACAACTGGGAGTCAGAAACTCTTCCCAATCTAGTCTGAATAATCCCGTTATCTACCATTTGCTTTCTGCCCACCCTGCATTAAAGCACACTTGTATGTTGTTGTTTTCTGAAATACCTAGATCAGGTTACCTGTTGGGTAGTAAGCTTGGGAGTATGGTGCTGAAGCTGCGTAACTGGTATATTTCTGGGATGATGCAGCAATCGTCTGCGGTCCTTGCTGAATGTGCACTGAGGTAGCGCTGGGCTGCAGAGTGTAAGTTACCTCAGTTGGAAACCTCTGGAGCACAGGAAATGGAACTCCTTTGTCAGAAAAAGTTGATGTCTCCACCTGCCCTGGGAGCATCCCAAGGGAGTTCTGCCATGTTCTTGGAGGAAGAGGAGTCCGTTCTGAACCTTTCAGTGGGAAGGTATTTTGGTTGTGAGATGATGGTGACAGGTATGAGTATGGAGATAAATTATCTCGCCGAAAAGACCGGTGAAACTGTCCTAAAGTCAGTGGTGCTGCATAGGGAGAGGGAAAGAAAGTATTCACTGGATTATTAACAAGCATAAAACAGTAGATACCTCAATATTAGCTATAATTAAAATATTACAGAGAGCAAGCATTTTATTTCAGCAAGCATTTTAAGTTATTTCTGATTTAAAGGTCTTAATGATTTTTATCTCTATTGTATTTGCTGAGTTTGGGGAAAGTGTGCACAAAAATGCATATATTACTGAAAATAACATACAAAAAACATATTCTGCATCTGGGAAACTGCTTGCAAAAAAATAGTCAAAACTGCATGCAGAAATGTGCTTATTATGAGAAATTCACATTAATAGCTGACACATTTTCTTGAGGATTATTAAAAAAAATTGCTGCAGAAATGTGAACTGGATTTAAGATTGGAAAAATGAGGAACCGGAGAAACTGAAATTGACATATTTGTCCATCCATATGTACAGCCCTGATCCAAGATTTAACTGTGAGCCCTTCCTGTTTTTCGCATCAAACTATGCCCAGGATCTCACTACAAAGCTTAAACTTTAGAGGGATACACAGCCTGAATTTCCAGCTCAGAATCAGAAGCTGCCATTTAGATAGCAGGCAGGACCATGATGCCAATAGCCTGACTTTACTGCCACATCAGTGTTGCAAACTCTTTTGAATTATATGTGCAAATTGAAACTGGAGGAGTGCAGTGTGATGGAGGCTCCTTGCATAGTTTTCATTTATATATTAAGGTATTTGTGTCCTGCACCCCAAAAAGATCCCAAGGAACTTTATAACAAATATACACACAATTGTTATCAAATTTTAAAATAAAGAAACGAAAACACAATAAAATCTAAAAGCAACAGAAAAGCAAATAAAAAACTAACCAGAAATTAATATTCACAATTAAAATAACTAAGAAAGAGCTTTAACTAACGCTAAAACAGCATCAGCATGGAAAGCCAGGAGAGCATCTTTAGTAGGCATACCTTGGAAATGGGACACCATCATCCCTTTCTCTGGTTGCCACTTGCTATATTATTATTATTATTATTATTATTATTATTATTATTTACAGTCTCAAACCCTGACGGGCTCTAAAGGTAAGCACCAGTATGCAGAGCTGGGTCTAGAAACAGACCAGGCCATTCAGACTACGTATGTCCCTGAATACCAACTGCTGGCTGCCAGGGAATCACAAATCAATAAAGTGCTGTTGCACTCATCTTCTGCTTGTGGGCTTCTTAAAGGCATCTGGTAGGCCACTGTGAGAACAGGATGCTGGACTAGATAGGCCTTCAGTCTCATGAGGCAGAGCTCTTATTATAACTCTCGCCCAGTTAACAGACTGACAGCTGTTTGGTTTTTTAAAACTAACCAGTTTTGACCATGAGAAGTTGTCCTTGTATTTTTATTTTTATTCGTATAGGATCTCTAGATAAAATATTTTTAATGGCAATTTGTTGTTTTATATCCTGCTGCTTCAGCATTTCCACTGTTAAAACAGCTAACATTGTTTTAATTCATTGTTATTCACTTCCCTGAGCTAAACTGAGGATAAGTGGATGTTTTAAATAAATTTGTTTAAAAAGAAATTAACAAGGGCCATGGCACAGTGTATGCAAAAGGTCCCAAGTTCAATACCGAACATCCAGAACTCCAGAAGGGGCTGGGAGAGACTCCTTGCCTGAACCCCTGGAGAGCCCTGCCTGTCAGCGCAGACAATATTGAGCTGCATAGACCAGTTTCCTATTTGTCACATTCTATTGTATTTGTGGGCTTTTCTTGTATGGATGTGGTATTTGTGTAGGAATTGTGTGTTGTGTGAAGAGTCCCTATCTATAAGGTGTCTCAGGCAAATTCACTGCTCTTCTAAAGGGTGGGCCTTCTTTATCTCCCTGCAGAGGTTAGCAGTACTTTCACCCATTATTGATGTTTATACATTTCCTCCTCAGGCTGAGCTGGGGGGAAGATAGATATAAATTAAAAATGTATATTGTGTTAAAAATGGAGGAAGGGCAATCTCCAACCCAATGTTTTGCCTCCTGTTTCCTTTCCTTTTGTATCATTAACCTAGTAGGACCATCAGCTACACAACCTCCTCTTTGGGTTTGAGGCTAGGGCTCGAAATACTGTGCAGTCATTTTTGCACCCTACTGGGTATGCAAAAGAGGAGAGGCTTGTGAACGTTGCTTAATTGTAGCAGCTATAAAAATAAATATCATTATTCCTTGGGCTGAGGAAAGTAGTAAAGGAAGAGTGAGACAATGGCTAGGATAAGAAATGGTCCAATTTGTTTAGCAAGACTAATTCTTCTTTATAGAGGTGCTCTACTTTTTCTTGGGGGGGGGTGATATAAGATGCAAACTGCACCAGCTAATTGCAGTATACAGCGACAACTAGTGTACAAAATGAGCTAGTGCACACTTGCCCTAAAGGTTGGGAACAGATAAAATGTATTTGTGGGCATATCTACACAGCAAAATTCAGTCCACTTAACCACCTGTTTCTCCTCAAAAAAAATTAATAAATTGTAGCCCTGACTAGGATCTCAGGTTCTTTATTTTCCATTGTTCTCTGAAGAAAGCAAACTTGAAATTTACAGTATATGCATTATGCAATAGGACAGTATCATGAAGGGGGAGTTATTCTGCACTGATTTGCAATAGAAGAGACTCCTGCCCCACATCTATCGCAATGAGTGCAACAGTAATGTAGATGGAGTTTGTGGTTGGAGGAGCCTTCTCAGCTAAGGCATTGCAGAGCTGAAACACATGAAGTGGGAGAGGGAAGGAGATAGAGCACCTGCTACCACCACCAACCTTCTGGAGTATGACTTTGTGAATATCCTGTGATCTTGTTTTCTGAGGTTGCATGTTTAATTTTAGTTAATATAAATTAGATGCTTGTGGAGGTATCTGAACTTTCCTATGGTACTCAGAAGCTGGATAGCTTAAGATGGTAACAGAATGGATTTTCCTCCTGCCCTTTCAGTCAGTACATATGGACACAGTGGGAGATTCAAACAAGCGTTTTTGTGATTATAGATCCAGAGGATGAGGTTTAATCTGGACCAAAAGGCTGTTTCAGAGAATGTTAGAACTGAAGTGAATGGCATGATTACTTGAAAAGAGGCTAGATGAATTTCAACAGTGTCTATTTTCATACCCTAGGAAATTGGGCAGAGGCATGTGTATGAATGGAACTATGTCCACATGTGGTACCAAGGTGCTTTCAACTTGTGGGAGGTGTTCATGGGGGCTTAAATCTGAATGCTGGAACTAAACTCTGGTGCGTGCCTGTCATATGCATTCCACATCAGCACTGAGTAACTGCAGCCACATTCACACATCCAACCATTATGTGGGACTAGAAGTTTCCATGTAAAAATGAAAGTGAATTTTGCTGTAAGGGGACATACAGTCCAATTCTATGTATTTTGAGTGGCAGCAGCTCTCCATGGGCTGCTAAGAACGGGGGGGGGGGTGTCACTGTGTGTTGTTTCTGCAGCAGACCAAGTTTTGTGGCACCTTAAAGGCTAATATATTTATTATGACATGAACTTCCATCCTGTGTGACCATATACATATGTGTAATCTACACATAGACAGAACTGTCAACTGTGGGCAACACTTGGTGATTCTGTTGAAGCAGAATGTTTATGCCTTTTTTCAGTTTTAAGATTCATCTTTAGCTAATTCATATTTGGAACTAAGGCACATGCCAACTACATATGCTAAAAATGTCTTAGTTCCATCGAAGCCTTTTCTATTTACCTGGTCTATATATTACCGTGACAGATAAATTTTATTTTACGCTGTTATTTTATATTGGTGGGTTTTAAAACGTGCATTGAATGTTTTTTATTCTTTTGCACAGCGCACTGGGATTTTTAACTATTGAAGCAGTCTGTATGCAATTTAAATGTCTACTCAGAAGTAAGCTCTACTGAATCCCACAGAGCTCACTCCTAGGTAAGTAGAGCTAGGACTGCTGCCTAAAGAGATCCATAAAATGGGTGCCACAAAGCTTTTTGCTGCCCTTGTTCAAGAAACTAAATGCTTTTTTTGTGGGTGGGTGGGGGTGTGAGGTTGAACCCTGGAGGCTCTTTCGACGGCCCCTCTTCCCCTTGGCAGGCTGTGGTTACTCTGCACGCGCTCAAGAGCCTTCTGGTCTTGCAGGAGCTGTTGCTGCGTCGCGCCGTCTCTCTCACCGGGCTTGTTGTCGCTGCTCTTGGCGGCCGCCCCGGCGGCGGAGGCGGCGGCTGCTGCTGCCACGGCGGCGGCGGCCTGCCCCGCGGGGCTGTTGTGCTGCTGGTGGTGCTGGTGCTGCTGCGCCAGAAGGGCCTCCCCGCCGTGCAGGGAAGTGCTGAGGAGGCGCTGGAAGCGGTTGGGCGGGCGGCTGGTGACTTCCAGCCCGGCGGCCAGCTTGGCTTTGTTGGCGCTGGTCAGGCGCTTGAGGTGCACCAACAGGTCGGGCCGGTCGCGGCGAAAGTGCGGGCTGTGGAAATGGTGCAAAGGGCCGCCGGGGGCCGAGGACGACGACGAAGCCGGGGAAGAGGAGGAAGCCGAGGAGGCCGAAGAAGACGAGGCCGACCCTCCTCCGCCTCCCCCTCCGGGCGGGCCCAGCACCACTTTTCGGAAGCCGTACAGGTTGAGCTGGCGGATGAAGCTGGTGAAGTTGGTGGTCTTGAATAGCTCCGGGGAGGCGGGCGGCCCTGAGGGGACGCCCGACGACGAGGCCGAGGCGCCGCCTCCATCGCCGCCTGGGCCGCCTCCCCCAACGGCCGCCACCGCCGCGCCTCCCCCGGCTCCTCCTCCTCCCCCGGCGCCCAGGAGCTCCGCCTCGAACAAGGGCTGGTCAATGAGGAGCCCTTCGCCGCGGGCGTCCCAGCGGATGGAGCGGAAGCGCGGGCTGTTCACCAGCCGCCACAGCTTGGCCGGGAAGTTGTTGGGGTTGATGGGCGCCGCCGAGAGCAGCGGGTCCTCCATGGCGCTTCTGAGGAGGAAGAAACGGGCGGCGAGGCCTCGCGCGCACCTCAGAGCGAGACACCCCTCCTTCTTTCCCCTTTCCTTTCACTCGTTTCCTGCCCCCATGGCCCCCGCCTCAGGACGGCCCAACGGACGGACGGACGGCGCGAGGGACCGGCGGCTTTTTTTTTCCTCCCCCAACGGCCGCCGCCGTCAATCACCCGCGGGGCCGCCGCCGTCGAGGCAGAGGCGGGCGGGAAAGGCACGCGCCGAGGCCGCTCTCGTTGTCTCCCGCCAAAACCGCACAACCGACCCCCACAACAACGGCGATTGGGCAAACACATAAAAATATAGACACGACAACAATAATCATTTGACAAAACAGTAAACAGTAACGATAACGTATTGCACACGCGGCGGCACGTGCCTCGTGTGTTGCCAGGCTATCTTTGGGATAGGCGACTTGATACCTGCGAAAATCTTATGGATTTTCTCATCCATTTCCTCCCCTCGCCCCCAAATCCGCATCTCGCAGTTCTTTGCTTCGTTTGCGTGCTATTTCTGCAAACTGAACAAGTGCATCATTTAAAATAATAATCACCTCAGTTTTCAAAGTTCCCTTTTACTCCCTCCCTGAGATCATGTGCAAATGTCATTAAAAAACAAAAACAATTAATATACACCTTGGCTACGTAAACACAAATGCGCATCATGGAAATAGTTAACATATAGCAAATTGGTATAGGTTGTAACAAATGAGCCTCTGTACAAAGGCCCTCACCTCAAGAGCACAAGATTCTGCACTCTTGGAATCACCTCCTTCATAAACAGGCTAAAAATACATTACACACAGCACATGAATAAAATTCCTGTTGGCTCACAACTTGACATGGATACTACAATTTTTATTACCTTTATATCCCCTTTCCTCCAAGGAACTCAATGCGGTGTACGTAGCCTGAGTCCCATAACTATTACAAATTTAAAAGGGTGCTCTGAGCCAGTGAATGGGTGGCTGGCTGGCTTTTCCTAGAGGATGTTACCATCAATGGTGAGAACAGGATGCTGGACTTGATGGGTCCCCTTTGGCCAAACACAGCAGCTGGGTTCCTATGTTCCTCATTCTCAAACTTGGTGATTGAGGGAGAACTGCATGTGTTGAGGACACTTTCCCAACTTATGCAAAAAATGCATATACATAAACCATAGTGTTTGAACATTACACTAGCGGTACCCACCCTTAACTGTAATTGCCACCTAAATCTGAAAATAATTAAATGTAATAAATGTAGCTCTGTGCATATACAGAGCTTTCCCCCTTGCCACTAATAAACTAACAAACTTCGCCCCATGCTCTTAGAATTGTCACCCCAATTTATGTAAGTGCCAAAAATATACTAGGTGCTTTATATGAATGAAATGCACAGGGCCCCGCAGGTGGCCTTACAATCAGCAGGGTTGCCAAGTAGGTCTGAGCCCCCACCCCCACACTTTAAAAAAAAAGGGGGGGGGATATTTTAAGATGGATTTTCCAAAATATGCTTTAGTCATTTGTCAACTCAGGCTTGGTGGCATGGGTTAGGAAACCTCTCCTGTAAAAATGCTGCTGCAGCAATGGCCTTCCAGTGCTTTTGCATGTCTGGAATACACCCTTGAGCTGTGACTGCTTCTTTGCTTGCTGGGGTGGAAGCGTGTGTCTGTGTGGAAATTCTGACTTTTACATGGCTTCCCTTCTGTCCAAAGGGAAGAGTCATATCTGTTCCTCCGGCCACTTTTGCCTGTGGCCCTGCCCAACACTGGCATACATACAGGCCCTGGAAAGTTGCCCTGTGAGGGAATGCAGACCTTGGACCAGCTGGCTGGGGCTGATGGGAACAATATCCAAAACATCTGAAGGGCACCAGGTTGCCAAAGGCCGTTTGAATGATTTTATCTAAATGGCTTTGTTTTGCCTGAAAAGCCATATAAAAACATTGCCTGCCATGTGTTGAATATTCAGCTTGAAATTTCTCAAGCCAGGGACCTGTGATTTATTATTTTTCTGCAAAGTGCTGTGGAGTCCATAATGGCACTGATCCCAGCCTGCTCTTGACACAGTTAAATTAAGGGCCCCCTCCAAGCTGTTAACCACCAACCTTTTCTTTTGAAAAGCCATTTTTTCACCTAGGAGAAACAGAGCAGCCCCGGTTATATCCTCCTCTAGGAAAGGCTCCAGGAAGATCATTCATTCACTCATGATTAAATAAAACGGCCCAACAAAGCAGCACTAATATAGAGATTTTATTCAACTGTATTGAATTTCTTACAGCACATTGCCTGTCACAAAGCTATTGATCTGATTTTGGAGTTGTTTTTTGCCTGAAGACAGTGACACAAATTCATGAGAGCTGAAAGCAGTTTTGATTAACCATGACTTGGGAGGGTCTTATTCTACTTCTGTTTTCGGATTTTTGTTCAACATCTGTGCAAATGAGTTGGAACCAAACCTGAACTCTTCCTCCTATTTCCATCACTTCACATGGACAAAGCATAGAATATGGCAAAATCGGAGATCCCACCTTTTAGCAATATGAGGTGTGTGGTGTGTTTTTTGCTCCTTGAAAGAGGCCACAGGGCAACTCAAGGAGATCCAGTGTCAGAGGATGATGCTGGCTTTTAGGCTTATGACCAAAAGCAAGCTGAAATGTGGAAGAAAGAATAAGGTAGACAGAACCACTAACTTCACTGAAAGTTTTTTTTATAAAAAAAAAATCAGCCAGGAATAGACTGCTGGCAAGAATGCAATCTGAGTGTGGAGAGGGCAGTATTTTCGCATTCTTGAGACAAGATGTCTTGGCCCAGCCTATTGGTGGAGCATCTGAGAGCTCTTGGACCAGCTGGAAGAAACCCTCACAATCCTGTTCACTCTACAAACCCCCCTGCAGATGTACTACACTTCAGGAAAAAGTGATCATGAACATTGCGCTCATGAAAAGCTGTGGAAATGTTGGCCGCATCTCACTCCCCTTTTGTAAAGCATGTAAGTGCTCGTTTGGATGGAAGAGAAAGTATTAGGGGAAAGTAATTGATACAGTCACTGAAGTGAAGCATCTATAAATCAAGAGAGACATTTCCAACAAGGGGGTTTATTGATGTCAGAATGAGCTGGAGAGCAGTTTTGTGAAGGTGGTGATGATGATGATGGCCTTTTATATTACCCCTTGCAGCTTCTTGAGTGACAGGAACAGGAAGTCCCTGTCTGCAAGTGTTCGCCGCCTCCCATTTGTGAAATTGGCATTCTTCCCTCCCTCCCTCCCACCCCCACCCCCCACTTTTGTTCTCCAGACTACAGTTTTTAAGTGCAGAGAGAAATAACATTAGCAGCATTTTGGACTGAAACCCTCAAGCACACTATAAACAGCACATTCCAGGAGGTAAAGAAAACCTACACAGACTGCCCCCTCCAGGCACCAGGTTTTCAGGATAAAAGAGCAACCAGAAATAGACACAAGTGCAGCAATAAGGAGTGGAGGAGAATGACACACTGTGGTGTAGATCGAGGGAGGCTCGAGGTGTCTCCTGTGAAGACGCCAGGCGGGAACTGGCTGCCCAAAACCCACAGAGGGCAGGAAGTGTATAGCAAGCCAAACTTAACTGCTTTCCACAAGCAACAGCCCAACTGCCGGGGCAAAGAGTCTTACTCCCTGAAGGGACACAGGGAAGAGACAGAGAGAGAGATGCTCTGCTTAGTATGGAGGTCCCCGCCCCAGCTCCTGCTTTTTGTACTAGTGCTGGCCTTGAGCCACTCAGGGAAGTGGTTGGCAAGCTGAACACAACTGAGACGTGACAGACACAGCCAGAGTGAGCTCCTGCAGATGTACAACTCTGAGGCTGCAGTCTTCTTCTTCCTTGCACAAGTCAACCTGCCTGCCTTTGTGAGGTGGGGGAGAAGAGGGTCTGGTTCTGATCATACCTTCCTATTGCTTTTGGGAACAAGGCAGTTGTAATCTGCACCACATCCCTCGCCAGCCCTCTGAAGTAAAGACACCGCGGTCTCCAATTTAGCCTCAGGTCTTCAGACCACAAACAGTACCATGAGGTGGGCCATATCACACTCTTTAATCCAATTTCCTCATCTCCAATACACGGGGCACCAAGTGGGGAAAATCGCCAACAGTGCATACAAGGCTTGGTGATCAAGTGCTGCGCTACCGACCTCCTCAGCTGCAGCAGAGGCAGCCCCTCCCCTTTCCTTCCAGTCTGCAAGTTGAAAAGGCCAGGCCTTGACAAGTTTTCCTCTGCTGGCGTTCAGCTAGAAGCGGTGGCAATGGGCTTCTTCAGATGCTGGCTCATAAGTTCCCTGGCACGGGATACCTGGATGTGATCGTAACAGGTGTTGCAGACGAGGACCGGGTCATAGAGCTGCTGATCAGGAATGGGCAGCTTCAGGTGGCAGCAGCTGGCACAGAACACGTTCCCACAATTCCTGGGCAAGGAGTAAAAGAACACAAGGACAGCTGTCACCCTGGAGCCAAAGTGGTCTGGTGTGGGGAGGATCTTGTCTAAAGAGAAGGGGCTTCTGTTATCTTGTTTGGCACAGTAATGGATCAGACAATGTCATCCAAGCAACCCCAGGTATTCTCTGCACTGTGGTTCTTCAGTAGCCGCTGTGGCCTAAGGAACAGACTCTCCTGTGGGGGCACTGGGAATATAGCATGAATTAACCAGAGATTCTTACATCTGCTATGCACTACTTTTTGGCTTATAAGTGGGAATGGAAGAGCAGTTGCTTGCAGGGAGTGCCCATAGCTCAGCGGCAGAGGACATATTTGAATGCAGGAAGTGCCAGGTTCAGTCCTTGGCATCTCAGTGGGGCTGGGAAAGACCTTCAGCTTTATATGTTCACATAAAGCTGGGCTAAAGCACTGACAGCTGATTTAGCCCACAACTCCTGCTCAGAAACTTTTCATCCCCACTCCCATTTTGTCCTCCAAGCTTTCCATTTCAGCTCTGCTTACAGTACTCAACTATCTCCTCACAGAATTCCATCTTTGCCCTTTCCAACTTTTCCCCCTTTCTGTAAGGCCTCTCACTTCCTCATGTATGCCGACGTACCTGTACTTTCTATACATTGGGCCAAAAAAATTCCTAACTACACATGGCAGGGGGTTGCACCAGATGATCCTTTGGTCCCTTCCAACCCTACAATACTATGATTGTATACTAGATATATAATATACAATACTAGAAAGGATATTTAAGGGCTGGAAAAGGTTCAGAAAAGGGAAACCAAATTGATCAAGCGGATGGAGCAACTCCACTTCAAGAAGAGGCTGCAACATTTGGTGCTAGGGGCTCAGCCACACGTCCGTGTGCCCCACCACTTTTCCCCAGGGAAACTTGTGGTTTATCGCTGAATCGGAACAAACATTTGTTCTGACTTAACACTAAAGGAGTGGGTTTTCCAGGGGGAAGCCCTGAGGCAAAGGCAAAACCACTTGGACCCATGTCTAGAAAGCAGCAGACAAAACTGCTTGGAAAGAAGGACAAAATGGTCTTATGAATGAACACATGCAAAACAGACACAGACATCCCTCCACCCCTAGGTCTGAACCAGCAGAGCTCTCTTCTTATATACCTATTATTTTATCTTGCTTATTAATACTACAGTCTTGTTAAGGCACTGATTTAGTACTTTCAGGAAAATGCTGTCATCAGCAAAAAAAACACACAAAACAAACAGGACTTAGTGGATTGTAACCCCACAGAGTTTTAAGAATGGCTTTTCTAGGAATATTCATTATCCAATTTTTCACCTTGTAAAAGCATAACATCAGGCAAACTGTTTATACAATTTTTAAGTATAAAGGATGTAATCTAAAAATACTGATGTAGTGAACATCTTTGTTAATTTCCTGAGAGCAAAACACTCTACACTCTTCCAAGCATTTAAGCAAAGGGTTGGCAATAACACTGGCCGACCGTCCCATCCTTGCCAGGAAAGAAACCATTCCTCCTGCTCTCCAGTGGGGAATCTGCTGCCCAGTCCTTCTCAAAATTCTATTCACCATGAACATTTGAGATGTAGTTACTGAACTGAGGGGAAGAAAAATAAAACAGACAACTGACGAGGAAGAGTCATAGCAGTTGCTAAGCGTTACCTGCAGTGGTGCCTGCGTTTGGCTAACCAGAACTCACAGTCACAGTTAAAGCAGTGTGAGGCCATGTGGTCTGGAACCCAGCGAGTGACCTGCAGAGAAATCACAGTGTGTATCTGTTGGTTAGAAGGATATTCGTATACAGAGTCAGGGAGCAGCATTTACTTGGCACATTTGAAAGCTTTGCTTGGAGTTCTGTGTTTCCAGCACTTCCAGTTTCAGAAAAGTGTTTGACACACAGGAAACAATTCAGAAAGGGGCCACACTGACAGTTTAAGATGGGAAAAAGCAAACGATAAAATGAATGTTTTCTCTAGAAATAGGAAGAATTCTGAGTTTTCAAGCATCAGAAAGGATGTCAGAGAGTAATTGCTCCTTGGAGTAGACTGGCATTCCCCATCCTGGTGCCTCCACAAGTTTTGAACTAGCACTCCCAACAGCCCCAGTAAACACAGCCATTGGTCAAAGATAATAGGAGTTGCAGTCCAAAATATATGAAGGACATCCAGTTAGGAAGTCCAAAGTAGACAAATAAGGAGTACTTCTAGACATACAGTTCATTAAACCCCAAAAATTCCTTCCAGTAGCACCTTAAAGACCAACTAAGTTAGTTCTTGGTATGAGCTTTCGTGTGCAAGCACACTTCTTCAGATACGTGGTATCTGAAGAAGTGTGCTTGCACACGAAAGCTCATACCAAGAACTAACTTAGTTGGTCTTTAAGGTGCTACTGGAAGGAATTTTTTTGTTTTGACTATGGCAGACCAACACGGCTACCTATCTGTAACTTCATTAAACCCTTAATACATCCAGATATAGTGAAATGCAAGAGAGTTTGTAACACCAGATCTAGGATGGGGCAATAGCAGACACACACAAAATAATGGAAATACTGAGCTTCCCATGTCATGCTACCCATGTCAGCCATGCAGCTGCTTCCCATGTCATGCTAGCCAACTAAGGAGATGCAACAAACCTCAGTTTCCCTTTTATCGACAGGCTCCCAGCTTGCTTCAGATAGACAGTCTTCACTGTGGTCAGAGTAGAAGTCCTCATTTTCACTGCCATCCGATTCCTTGAGGCAGGTCTGCAAGGAAGGCCACGACAGCCATTAGCTAATCTGTTACATACCACACACATTTCCACCTCCCCCTGAAACCTCAGTATCCTCTAATAGTGAGTTGGGAATAATTACGCTCACAGGGGCATCGGAAGCTGCCTTGTATCAGGTCAAGCCAACTGTCCCATCTACCCCAGTATCTACTGTAACCAGTAGCACTTCTCCAGAGTCTTAAGCAGAGGGTCCTTCCCATAACAGCTGCCTGATCTTTTTATAACTGGAGTTTCCAGAAATGGAACCTAGGATGGGACTCCCACAAGCAAATCATGAGCTCCCCCACTGAGCTACAGACCCTCTTCCACCAACAGAACAGTGGAGTGGGAGACTGGGGAATTCTGGAATGCCTCTGTGGGAAGAGAGGGGGAGACAAGAGGAGACGCAAGCAAGGAACAAATGATTCTCAGAACTATGTGAATGGAATCTGGCAGCGTGTACGCCTTATCTGCTCCACCAGAACCTCACAGCTTTGTAGCTATGTTCTGCTTGGAACCCACTAGGAGACAGAGATGCCTCTGAGGCAGGTGTGTTGTTGATGACCTTTCAACTCCTCCCATCTACAATTAAATGATTGCATGCCTTCCCCAGGGGCTGCTGAAGAAACCACACCCGCAAGCCGTCACTTACGAAGTCGTCTTCGTAGTCCATTTGCGGTTCAGCTGGAGGCGGGTAGCAATGGCGAATGTCCAGCCTGAGCTGCAGCTCCCGCACCTGCCTGCGTAGTTGCTCAACCTCCTGCTTGTAGGTGGCCTCGATCTGCCGCAGCCTGTGCTGGATCACGTCTGTTGGGAAGGGGAGCCCGTCGTCGTCTAGGTAGAGTGGAGGCACTGGGGAGGGGCTGCTTGGTGGTGCGTGCTTGGAGCCGAGGGCCTGCTTCAGATGGCAAGGGAGCCACACCTTGCTGGACTTCCCAGCATAGCCTACGCAGTGGGTGCCGGAGTGGCTGGAGCAGCCAGGGGGCTTTGCACTCTCTTTCAAAGGCCACTGACCACTGAGGCACAGTCCAGAGGCCCAGAAGTGCCTGCTGCTCAGCCTCTTGTTGCAGCAGCCATAAGAGAGGAGCCGCCGGGGACCCACGTCACCTCCGGGAAGCGACGTCCCCATTCCCTGAAAGCTGTCCCAGCTGGCTCCTAGGAAAGAAAATTCGCTCGTCTGGCTCTGAGAGATCCCTTTCCGCCACAACTCCGGCTGAGCCTTCCCTGTCTGGCTGCCCTCTTCCCCATGCCTGACGCGGCCACTCTTGCCGTCCTCCTCCTCCTTCCGGCATCCAGGAGCATCCTGCCTTGGAACACTCGGAGCTGGTGGAATCCAACGGGGGCCACCCACTGAAGGCTGGAGGGAGGTGTCAGGGCAGCAGGGCTCTGCAAGGTCCAAGGGGCCGTTAGATTCCAGGCCAACGTCTTTTGCATCGTTGCAGAGGAACTTTCCAAGCTGCTCATCCGTTCCAGTCACTTCCCCCAAAGGCTTTGTCAACTGAGAAGCGTTTTGAGTGGGGCAGGGACCTTCCACTGCTTCTGGACTTACAGTTTCTACCTTGGGAGATACACCATTTAATTGCTGAGACCCTCTATGGTCTTGTGATGTCTGTGGCTGTTCAGTTCTGTTGTTTTCAGAGTTCCCGTCGCTGGCAACAGGCAAGGGGCGCACTTCTTTTTCTTCCTGCTGCTGTGGAGGCACCTGGGGAGGTTCCTCTCCCACACTCTCTTTGCCAGCTGCCGTCTCCTCAGCACCAGGATGCCTGGGCTCCAGGCTAACCCTGACATCCTGACAGTGGTTGTTCAGGTTCGGATCACTTGATGTGCGGGTCAGCAAGCTGCTGGGATCGCAGGCAGAAAGAAGATCGTCCATAGATCTGGTCTTTGGTAATCTGGAACCACAAAAGGAAACCTTAGGCACTGGAGAGAATGATCTCTCTCTGCCCGTGGAGGTCCTTGCAGGGCCTGAAACAGGATATGGGTTCACCATGGACGCAAGCAGCCAAGTGGCCAGAGCCTGTCCTCACTACCTGAAAGTCTGCCAACTAGTCTCTGGCCCCACGTCAAGTGTTTATGGCCAATGGAGAAAAACCTAGATATTTTCCGAAGGGCTTCAGAGGCCTCACTGTTTCTAATGGTCTCTTTCTTTGATGTTAATGCTCAGTACACAGCAATTACGACTGTGTATCTCAGGATGAACAGGTTGAGGGGACCCTCAGCAACCATTTGGATAAGAGGCATTCAATCCTTACAATGCACCTTGGCATTTCAAAATGTATCTTATATGGTCCTTTCTCCAAAGCTTTGAAAAAAACAGTAAAGAAATCACCACATACGTAGAAGCATCCTTTCTTGGTGTGTTAGATTTAAATGTCAGGTTCTTGATAAGCACTGACATTAACAACTCTTCCAAGATTTTTTAGGGCAGTGGGGAATGTCAGAATATACAAGTGGATAATGTGATGGAATACAAAGTAGGTTGAAAGCACCAGAACCTTCCCTTGGACAAGGCCCACTGTATATAGTGGAAATGGAAAATATGTGGCAAAATTTGAGCTATGCTCTAGACCTAGAATCATAGAATTGTAGTGTTTGAAGGGACCCAAAGGGTCATCTGGTCCCACCCTTTACAATGCAGACACCACAGCTAATGCAAGCAGGCATCCTTAGAAACCCTGGTGCAACTCACAAGACAAGGGTCACTTTATCCTACCTGTCAAGAGACCTGCTGCTAAACTCCTGGCTTTGGGATCCAGAAGGCAGGTAGAGGTCCATGCCCTCTTCTCCAAGGGGGCACGGGGAGGATGCCGGGAGATACACAGCCGTCCAGAGGTGCAGTGCTCGCACATGGCATACGGGGTGCAGCACCTGCCATGGAAGGTGGAGAAAAGCAAGCTCAGTCAGGGCAGGACACCTCCCCCTCCTCCAGCACCAGGGGTGGGAATCCCACTCACCTGTTCGCTACCAGGCATGTAGAGCAGGTTGTGGAAGTTCTTGTTGCCGGCTCTCAAGAGGGACCAGACCGAGCAGGTGCGCTTGGCGATGTTGTGGATCTCGCGCTCACAGGGACTGTTCCCCAGGAAGGTCCCATAAAGGCAGGAGTAGGTGTGCTGCACCAATTTCACCTGGAGGAGATGACAGGAAGGGCTTTGGGTTAAAGCTTGCATGAGCCCATCTCCGGAAGAACGCTTTTCATGCTTCTGTGTTATTAAAAATATATATATACACTGCAAGGTGTCTCAGGACACGGTCGGTAGAAATAAATATATGAGAAATAAATGTTTATAGACTTATATTTGGAAACTACCTGGAGTATTCTTGGCCCTGTGCGCTCACACTTCAGATGCTCATGATTAAAGTATAACTGAAACTAATGACTGGACCAGCCTACCTGCTGTCAAGGGCAGGAGAAAGTGTGTTGCATGAAGAAAGGGAAAACTGTGATGTACTATTTTACGCAATTTGAACTCTTCATTCTCAAATTATTTCTTATTATTAATATCTGATATTCTTTGATTATTATTATTTATCCTGTCTTTTCCCCAGATAGGGTTTCAAGGCAGCTTACACAAATGAAAAGAACACAGATAAAATACAAGCAACTAAAAACATATAAAAATTATAGTTAAAAGGTAATTAAACTCTAATAGAATTAAAATAATATAAACATTTAATCTCTTAAAATACAGGTAGTCAAAGAGCACAGCACTGTTGAAGGCCCTTTCCTGAAAGGACTGTTGGAATGGAACAGTGTTCAGCTGCTGGTGGAAGGACAATGACAGAGTCATTCTGGCTTCTCTAGGAATGGAGTTCCAAAGCCTGGGAATTGCCACTGAGAAAGTTCCCTCCCACCAAGCATGCCTGCGAGGGTGGTGGGACTTAGAGAAGGGCCTTCTGGAAACTCTGTAAGCTAAGTGTCTGATTTATTCTAGCCTAAGTATTCTCATGGGGATTGTTTATTTAAAGGTGGATAAGGGCACCAAGTTTCAACATCCTTGGAGCAACCACCATTGTGCTAACTCTGCTATGAAAGAGTAAGAATCTCTCTTCCAAACTTCTCTCTCCAACAAAAGTAGGATGCTGTACAAATAAAATGATGAATGAATGCATGATTTATTCTTTGAACTAAGCTCTTGTGAGCCATCTTGACTCTCCCATTAGAAAGATCAGCCTGTGATAAAATGATGGGTCTACTGTGATTTGCCCCTCCCTAGGCTGTTGCAGGCTCTCTCTTACCAAGAAAGCTTCATTGAACTCAAAAAGGCAGGGGAACTGCTTGAGCAACTGGTGGACAGAATCCAGCCACTGCAGGAAAACGGGGCACTGCTCGTTCTGATCCTCCGCCTTCTCCTGGTGTCCACAGCGATCCCCAAACTTGTGGCCATAATCCAGCCAGTCTGATTCAACCAGCACCTGGAAACCCTGCCAAGAGGAAGGAGAGAAATGTCACCGCCGTAGACCCACTGGGCAGCCCACAATGAAGGGGCAGGAAGCTTCAAGGCTGCCAAAGTCATTCCTCAGATTGTAACATTCCTCCTCATATCCCCTCACTGGTGTTTCCTGCACAACCCCTTGCCTTAGCTCAGCGGCTATAGTTCAGCAGTAGAGCACTCACAGTAAGTCCCAGGTTCAATCCCCAGGTAGGGCTGGATGAGATTCCCTGTTTGAAACTCTGGAGAGCCACCACTGCCAATAGACAATACTGAGGAAGACAGACTAGTGCCCTGACTTAGTATAAGGCAGCTTCCGACCTTGAAAGTTCTCCACAGCCTTGCCCTACCCCATTCTTCTGCTCTCCTTTCCATTAGATCGCTTCCTGTGATCTTTAGTCCCAGCTTGGCCACCAGAAAAATCCCTTGATTCCAAATACAACAATGTCCATTCTTCCTTGCTGCTTTGTACGCTTGGAACACTTTTCCTAGGCAAATTGTGCAGTGCCTTCTCTCACTCGTCAGATCCCAACTCAAAACTCACCTATTCCTTGAACTGGAGAGTTGGGAGCGACACCAAGGGCCATCTGGTCCAACCCCCTGAAATGTAGGAAGTCTAACTCCATGTTACTGTATTTGCCCACTTTCTTCCCTTGCTGTCCCCATCTACCCTTCCCCCACCAGCTTCCTTTTATCTTCCGCGTTGTTTGTTTTAGATTGTAAGCTCCTTGAGGGCAGGGTCCTGACTATTCTCATTCTGTAAGGTGCTGTGTGCCTATCTAAAAATAATATGAAGAACCATTTATCCGACCAACTTTATATGGCCGATGATGTCCTACTTTCTTGATTGGGTAACACTCCAAAATAAAAAAGTAAGCTCTTTTTAATTTCACAGAAAGGCACAAGCTTGTTCCAGAAGAGATAACAAGGTGAAAGCTCATTGCCTCCTGTGAGAGACTGCCCTATCAGTTGGAAAAAAGAGACATAGAGGACTTGGGAGAAGCATGAGAATAGGTTGTGCTTTGTCCACTTTGGACTATTATATAAAGAGGCCAAAGCAAGAGAATGCCCCACCCACCCAGGTCAGGTTCTCCTGAAACTGCCCTTTCATCTTATGTTAACAGGCAAAAGAGACACGATACCTCCATTGTCCGGTAGTAAGGGTCCAGAAGGATCTTTGCCAGGGTGACAATCTGTGGGGTCCTGTCCCAGCCGTCTGAGCAGTGAACCAGCACAGGGCGCCCCTCTCGGTCGACAGCATTGGAGACCAACACAGCTGCCTTCAGCATGACAGAAAGGTGCTGCAGCCACTTGGTGCTCTCCAGAGCCGACAGCCAGCTGGAAAGGGACACAGGAATGGGAGAACATTATGCTTCTGACAGATCTAAGGGAGCCGTGGGGAACCCTCAGAACGGGGGCGGGGAGCAACTGCTTGAGAGCCAGTGTGGTGTAGTGGTTAAGAGCGGTAGTCTTGTAATCTGGGAAACCGGGTTCGAGTCTCCGCTCCTCCACATGCAGCTGCTGGGTGACCTTGGGCCAGTCACACTTCTGTGAAGTCTCTCAGCCCCACTCACCTCACAGAGTGTTTGTTGTGGGGGAGGAAGGGAAAGGAGAATGTTAGCCGCTTTGAGACTCCTTAAAGGGAGTGAAAGGCGGGATATCAAATCCAAACTCTTCTCTTCTTCTTCTTCTCTCCAGGCCCCTCAATTCAGCCCTCACTCTCCCCATGCTACCCCCTTCTCTTTCTCAGCCACCCTCCCTCTCACACAGCCACCCTCCGTCACTGGCCCAGCTCCTCTCCCTCCTTGGCTGCTTTTGCCCAAATGGAACATGTCCTTGAACTGTGACCCTGCTTCTGGCTGTTGCATGGCTGGAAGCCGCTAGTGTAGAAAGGGAAGAGTCATATCCATTGCCCTACCCACTTCTGCCTCTGCTCCCAGCCACCACTGGGCTGTGACCCCCGGAATGTGGCTCACAAGGGAATGTGGCGCTCTAGCTGACAACCACCCCTCGGCCCTGTCCTATCAGTTGTCTCCATGACCTGCTTCATCCAGAAATGCCTCCTCTTCTCTCTCAATCAGTAGCACCCTCATCAGAGCCCACAAAGTTGGTTGTCCGCAGGGGCGGGTTTCCAGATGCAGGACCAGACTGGCCTTGCATCAGATCCAACAGTCTTGATAGTTTTTAACTAGCTGCCCCCAACCTACACCCTGAACTGCTATCCTAGCCCACTCCTGCCCTTCCCTGTTCATGCCTCTTGCCTTGCCTGCGGGGAGGATGGAGAGATGTGTAGAAGTGTGTTTAGACACTTTCCTACTGTACATAGGTACTGTCAGGGAACTGCCATCAGTGCCGGAGGGAGAGAGCAAAATCCAGAGGGATTCCAGAGAGTGTCCCGGGAGTGGGAGAGGTAGCCCATCTTCTGGGGAAGAGAATCAGCGTAGCACCAGTGGAGAAGGGGGGCAGATGGGGGAAGCGGCGAGGCGGTCCCATGACTCCTTGCCGGGGACCAGCGGGGAGAGTAGAGGTCCTCCGCTGCCTACGCCCTCCTTGCGCAGAAGGCTTTCGCACAGAGAGAGTAGGAGGAGACTAGGCGTCAAAGAGCTTCTTTGCTGGAAGAAGTTTAAGAAACGCCCACTGACGGATTCTGCCAGCGATTGAGACAGCCACGGGAGAGTGGCTGTCCGGACAGAAAAGGTTCACTCAGGCAACCCAGCCAGGTGTTTGCACCGGCTTACGCACGAGCAACCCCTAGAACCACTACAGGTACTAATTATATTCATTGCTCCACCCACTTTCCAAATTGTCCCCATATGGCCCTTGGAAGGTTGCACACCTTCCAACCTGAAGCTCCCCTCCCCTGCGTCAAGGGTTGGAAAGTGAGGATCCACAGAGAGATCGACAGCAGATGCCACCTTTTCCAAGGAGAAAGCTCCTTACCAAGGACATGGCATGCACTTGCTGCAGCTGCTGGCAACCAGCAGCAGCACAAGGAAACAGAGAAAGCTCCCTCCTGCTCTTCAGACTGCTGGCCCTCAATAAGCTAGGAGGAAACATTTCCATGGCAACAGGGGAAAAGAAGAGTGATGTGATGAAGCTGGCCTAAAAAGACACAGCAGAAAAGGCAGGGGCAGAGAGAGCAGCTATCAATATTGAGGTCATTGCCCTGTGGGGTGGAAAGGAGGCAAGAGAAAGCGGAGCAGCTAGGAAGAGAGTGGCCAGATAAGATCCCCCTGCCCTGCAAAAAAAACCAACCAGAGAGACACTGAGACATAGTGGAGAGACTGTCAAGCCCTGGGTTCAAATCCATGCTCGGCCATGAAGCTCCCCATGTGACCCTGGAACAATCACCTCCTCTCGAATTCTCATGGTTGCTGGAAGGATGAATGGGGTGATGTTCTGAGCCACAAGCCCAAAGGAGGGCTTGTGGGAGTGGCTGGGTGCAGGGATAACCAAAGAAGGATGTCAAAAAACAACAGAACGGCCAGTTCTAGGGCTTTATTAAAGAAGGTGCAGACTTACAGCAAATCAACCTGCCAGGTCTCCCAACCTTTTACAGACGTGGGACAGACACTGCAGCAAGAAGATGCCTTGCCCGTGCCCAAGGACCTCTCATCACTTCACCTGACCAGATGAGGGCATAGGTGGCAAATAGCCAAATCTTACAGGTCAGCTCCCCTTCTGGGCTCAGAGCCCAGCACTCCAAACCGCCCAGATAAGGAGAACTTCAAAGCAAGGCAATTAACCTGTAGCAAAGCAAGTGAATATAGACAGATGTGAGCTCACTGTTACAACAACTACCAGTTAATTATGGGGTGAACTTAACTACCAAGATGGCGTTTGCAGAGCTTCTGGAACAGTTTGCCTTTGGTTGAACACAGGTGGGGAGGTGTTGGGCTGTGCCCCTGTGCTATCCCATCCTGATCAGGAGGCCCTGGGAAGAAACCTCACCCTAAATTGGAGTTAAAAGCTATCAGTCCCATTAACCAACTGAAAATGCAGATTGGAACTTACTTGCTAGGGTCTGGCATCTGACTGCAGACAGCCCGCAGGTACTGGAAACTGTTGCGGATGGAATGGATGTTGGCCATCCCCATGAACACCACTTCACAGTTTGGGTAATACTCTGAAACACAGCACAGAAAGGGAGGGGGTCAGCTGGAAGCTGACGCTGGCTGTCAAAGGAAATATCTCGCAGCAAAAAAAAATAAAAAATCTTATTCTATTTGTTATTGATCTGTCACAAACTAACACATAAACATGTAAACAGTAAGAGAACCATACACGGAACATATTCGATATAAAAAACAAATTACAGAGTTGCAATTACATATATCAAAGTTTTTAACATGAGCCTATATAACCCAACCACAATGAGGCATGAATAATGGGAGGAATGCTTAAAATCTGACCACACATCACAGATGCAGCCTCCAACCTGCCTTACAGCCGACCCACTCACAAAGAATAGCATGTGTGTGAGTGAGTGAGTGAATAAATGAATAGTAGCAGAGACTTTTCTGAAAAGGACACCTTGTGACTCAGCTGTGGCAAAACAGGTTGGATTTGCCCTGGGCACATGCTCCTGTCCTCTCTCATCCCCTCCTGACAAGTCAACCACAGAGCTGGGGAGCAGAAAGCCACACCAGCACTTCTCTTAGGGGCTTTGACTCATGTGCCCCTATTGTGTGCTCAAATGCCCCTCGTACCTTCACATTCACAGCCTCCTCCCTTAGCTCGGTTGGCGACGGCGGCAGTGTAGGACCGGGCATCCAGGATCAGCAGCTTCTGAGGTGTTGCTGAACTCTCCACACTTGAGCACGCAGTCAGAGATGAATCTGCAAAAAGGACAGTTCAGTCTCCCATCTCCCGATCCATGTCCTAATTCTATACAATCTGCCCAGCAATATGGAATTCAGAAGAAAAATAAAAAAGCGGCCTCAGAGTGAACTTGAACAAAAGTACCAACAAAGGATAACTAAGCAGCCTTTGCCTTCTTTGCAGTCATAATTCTCAGAAGCATTACATGTTGCCATATCTAGAATACTATTTCTGGTTTGGGCCTTGTGAACAAGTGTTCAAGGAGGAGAAATTCAAGCAGAAATTGGAGGTGGCAAACAGAGAGCAGCTTTCAGGGATAAAGTAATGAGGAAAGGGTATAACTGCACTCCACAAGTCTGTCAGAGGCATAACAAGAGATGACAACGAACTACACTCTTTAAACAAAAACTGTAGTCGCAACCATTAATGGCGTTACACTGGCCATTAGCTGTTTTGATAGGGAATCAGAGGTTGGCTTGCAGCCTTCTCTCTGTGCTCTCACAACACTCCCAATTGCAGTGTGTTCAAAGCAGAGCTGGGGGGGGGACGACTTATCAGCTCTCATGATCTGCTTTTTAGATGGCTAACTGGGATCATAATCTTGGAGTCTTTCTTTCCAGCTTCTGGCAGTAGCTGCCCTCCTAGAACCTTTCAGCAGAAAACCAGCTTGTGGCTTTATTTGCACAATTCCTATGTGGAACAGGGACTGGACTAAAGAGAATTCCGGGGCTACAATTTTAACCACACTCTTCAAGAAGACACTAGAAGTAAGGCCAGGCCCATGCTACCATGGTCAAGGGACCAAACTCTGCCGAAGGGCGATACAGCATTTAAGCAGCAAAAGTTGGGAGAAGAGAACATGCCTGCCTTACTTACCAAAACCAGCATCACAGGCCTCGTTCCCGTCGCTGAGCCCAGAGTGCGGGGTCCCCCCTGCCAGCCTCTGTCCAGGGTTCAAGGCACAGGCTTTGGCGATGGAGGTTACGAGGTACTCGTCATCAGCGTTGCGCCAGCCCCACCAGCTGATCTCCGGCTGACTGCAGCGCGCAATCACCGCCCCGTTGCGCAAATGTCTGGGAGAGAAATCAAGGAAGCCCACTAGTCCCAGAGTACATGGACCCATCTCAAGAAGCCACAGCTTCTTGGCCAAATAATAAGGATATTTTTTGATTGGGGAGGTCAGGGAGAAGTAGCATTTCCCAGGATCCCGTGAAAGAATATGGAGCCATATTCCATATTACATGTATGATCTAGTAGCTGGACTAGATGACCCTCAGAATCCCGTCTAACTCTACAGTTCTATGTTTGCAGCAACCTTCCACAATGCCGCACCCTCCAGATGTTTGGGACTACAAATCCCATGATCCCTGTCCATTGCCTATGCTGGCTGGGGATGCTGGGAGTTGTAGGACAGAGAGACAGAGATCTGCAAAGCAACATGTGGAAAAGGTCCTCCCCGTTAGTTGAGTTATAAATTATCAAGAAGGTAAATTCTGTGTCAAAGACCAGACTTTGTGCTGCAGATGAGGGTACACAGCCCTGAACTCTCTTTCGGCAAAGGCTCTGTACATACAACACCAACTAAGTAACAAATAAATTCCCATAGCAACTCTAGAACCAAACCAGATAGCAACAAGGATGGTAAGGGTTAACACAGAATTGTAGATCAGGGCATGAGCCTACAGATCGTCTAGTCTACTTGGCCAGAGGGAGGACAGCCTATATCTAAAAACAGATGAATAATCCAATTTGATCAATCTTTGGCTGGTAAGATGTAAGCAGGACCATGCTTTGTAGCCTTCAACCCACAGAATCTCAGTGATTCCCCTCAGCTGCCACTGATTCGCAACCTTCTATAGTTTAATCATTCTTTTTTGTACCTATACACAACTGCTGGAATTCGCTTCCACGATCGAAAGGAAGCCACGTTCTCCAGCTCCTTGTCAGTGATCCAAACAGGAACCAGGAGTTTCTGCGGGTAGCTGGTGCACAACCTAAGAAAGAAAAGATACAGGGAGCTGACCATGGGACAGGAGTGAAAGAAATGAGAGCAAATTCCAGACCTTATTTTTTAAAAAAACCTGCAAGGCCATACATGTTTGGAGAACCACCAAGAAGAACTTCTGAAATGTACAACAACAACAACGGGCTCTTCAACTGGAAATAGAAATAGAAGGGGAAGAAAAGGGATAGGCAATCTTAGGTGGTCACAAGTGGGTCGGGAGCAGGGGGCCTTTTTCAGCCCAAGGGCAGCACTTCGGACCTGGGGAAACGTCCAAAGGCTGCATGCCAGTGATGGGCGGAGCTAGAGGCAAAAGTGGGTGGGTCAAAGATGTGACTCTCACCTTTGTACAACAGGATGCATTCCAATCACACAAAACTGGAATTTTTGTGGGTTTCTACACACAACACACACACGTGTGTACACACGTCCTCTCTCCATCCAGACCAGCAAGAGGCATTGTCTCTGCTCCTATATTATTTGTTTCACGTTCCTATATTCTAAAGCAGGGGTTCCCAAACTTTTTTGGACCACTATCCCCTTGGGTCCCATAAACTCATTCCCAGTATCCTACCCTAAAAGAAGCATTATTCAGAATAGCCATTTGGAGGACCCACTATGGAAGATAATAACACAATAAAATTCAAAGCAGTAACAATCTATTGCACATTTATTCAAAATCCAGTTAAAGAATTAATTCAACAAAGCTGATGAACTTGATCCAGTGATGCCAGCTTTTTCAAGTTTAGTACTCATATCCACCTCCAGCACCCCCCTAGGTAATCTCACCCTTTGGGAACCACTGTTCTAAAGGGATAGATGGCTAGCTAATGTAATGCCCAGTAACAAGGTGGGTGAGGGGCTGCAGATTCTTTTTGCCTCTGAAGATGGTGAAGCCTTTATCGATGACTCACTTGTAGTTGTTATTGATGTCAGAAACCCTCCACACATTTTGCAAGTCAAAGCCCATCCGAGTCAGCTCCATCTCAAAGCGGTATTTCACATGGTCTCCTGTAAAGGGATAAGCAGTTTTTTAAAAGTCAGCTCAAGCACCAAGTGCCATCCAGAAGTTTGGGACTCCAGCTCCCACCATTCCCCGTCAAAACTGCCACATGATGCTGCAAAAGATGGGAGCACAGTCATGCTGGCTGGGGCTGATGGGAGCTGTCATCCGAAATCTCTGGAGGGAAACCAGGTTAGCAAAGGCTGTCAGAGCACAGCTCTGTCTTAAATTGGTGAGGAGGGGGTTAATGGGGCCCAGTATGGCGAGGCATGAAAAACGGCGGCTAGAGACCCCTCTTAGATTTGCCTTAGGTGTCCCTTTTGACCTACCAGGGCGGCAGAGGTGGGCATGCTGGTCCTCCTCATCAGCACAAACCCCCAAGCACCAGGCATGGTAAGCAAACGCAAACAGGTCTTCCGGCCTGGTAGGGCGAGCGATGGCTCGGCTCAGCCTTTTCAGCCACTCCTGGCATTGCTTAAAAGTAGAAAAATGGCACCTGCAAGACATAGATGGGTACAGGCACACTTTGTAACGCTCAGAAAAGCAAGACAGACAAACTGAACTACAGGAATGAAAGGAGACATAAGCACCCACAATCTCTTTGATGTCTACTGCCTGTGGCCACTAGCTTAGATACTCAATAAAAACATTTAACAACAAAAACTCTGTATAATGGGATGATATATCTACTAGACCTGTGACATGTACCTAAGAACAGCAAGGTTTGAACTCCCTTTTTCCTTTAACCGTTAACCACTTTTGTTCCTAGTGCTGTTGCTTTTTAAAACATACATATAAATACAACTTCAAAAAACCACTTAAGAACATAGGAAGAGTCTGCTGAATCAGGCCAAAGGCCCATGTAGTTCAGCATGTTTTCACAGTGGCCGACCAGATAGCTGTAGGAAACCCTCAAACAGATTCCAAGCACAAGAGCCCTTTCCCTTCCTGTGGTTTCCAGCAACTGGTATTCAAAAGCATCACAGCCTCTGACTGTGGAGGCAGAGCAGAGCCATCGTGGCTAGTAGCCATCATTAGCCCTCTCCTCCATAAATTTGTCTCATCCTCTTTTAAAGCCATCAGCGTTGGTAGCCCCAAAGACAAATTTGTAGAGGAGAGTTCTTTGCAAGGTGTTGTTAGCCAGGGCAGTAAACTGAACTTCCATTTGCAGGGGAAGTCTACCTCTGAATACCAGATGGTGATGGAGGAAATGAAGTGGGGGGGGCACTGCTGCCTTCACAAACTGCTTCTGGGCTGCTCCCCGTTGGAAAGAGAATGCTGGACAAGTTTAACCTTGGCCTAATTCACCTAGGCAATTCTTATGTTCTGGTGAGGGGACCTGGTTTACAGACCACACTACCAACACCATACTCTAGAGGAGTGGTGGGGAATCCCCTGCATGCAGCTCACAGCCAGATTTTAACTGTGCCACTGGGGAAGGAATAGGGTTTTGATGCCATGCAGCGTGCAATGGCAGCTCTGCCCATTACAAGTTCAAAGCATGGAAAGGCTCGTAGCTCAGTGGTAGAGCATCTGCTTTGGATGTAGATGGTCCTAGGTTCAATTACTAATGGCAGCACCAGGTAGGACTGAGAACATTCTCTGTCTGAAACCCTGGAGGGCCTCTGCCGGTCAGTTCAGATGTAGACAATACTGAGCTAGATGGACCAAAGGTCTGGGCTTAGTGCAAGGCAGCTTTCTATGTTGGAAATGTCTTGGCAGACTCAGAACCCTTGCAAATATGCAAAAAGGAGTCCATGCATTTTGCAACTGCATGTGTGCAATTTCTGAGATGCAGCTGATTTCTGAAGTTTACAAAAACCGTAAGGCAGAGTTTGTAGTTCAATTGTGTGCGCTGAAGTTATTTGCATTCTTCCAAGGGCATTTAATGAGTTTGCATTTTTCAAAGCCAGGATAGATAAAGGGTGTTGAAGAGCTTTTTCTATAATCTCTGTGCTAAAAAAAGAAAAAAGACTGACGAAGAAAAACGTGAAACATGAGTGGCATTGCTAAGAATTAAATACATGCATCTGTTTCCATGGGAAATAGGTTTGTGTGATGGTGTGCATTAATTTTTGTTTATTTAATAACATTAATATTCTGCCCTTTCTCATAGATGATCTCAAGGCAGGTCACGACACAACAGACAGATGTATGGGTCTGGTCTGACCCAATACTGGAATATATAGCCTCAACAGGTTTCCAAGGGGAATGTGGCCCTTCACCCAGAAGGAGTTTCCCCCACCCCCTCATTTAGGTTAGTCACCCCCTGCTGTAACCCTAGACTGTCATTAGGCAGCACCTACCTGACTACTTTGGAGTCCTTGCAGACAATGTGAAGCTGGAACATGTCCCGACTCTCCACACTTTCCATCATTCTCAAAGGCACCTAGAACAAAAGACAAGGTGTGAGGTTGTGCGGTGTAGTGGTTATGGAGTGTCAGACAAGAACCTTGGAGACCAGGGTTCAAATCCCTGCTCAGCCATGAAGTTCACTGAGTGACATTGGGCCAGTCACAGTCTAAACTACCTCACAGGGTTGCACAGGATAAAAGGGGAAGGGAGCACTATGTACACCACCTTGAGCTCCTTGGAGGATAGGTGGGATATAAATGTTATTAATAAGTAAATTAACTAACTAACAAGGCAGGCAAATGCCAACCTCTGCGGGCAGAAACCTAACCGAACTTCACACATTTCTAATATCCCAGATTAAGATATGCTGAGGTCCAAAGGGATGTCACATTAATGAGGCCCCACAGCATTAACAACAAAATCTGTATTATTCTAACACAGAGGTTATCTGTATACCACCAGTTGCCCACAAGTTTCACCCAGGTGGTCCAGAGGCATTCATATTGACTTTTAATTGCATTTCCATTCTTTCTTTTACTTCCTATATTTGCATATTATTGTGTTACAATTTTCAGTGAATCCTTCAAGAAGGAATTCCACGCACCTCACCCACAAATGTCAGATTGGTAGTGATCTTTCTAAGGGTGTTTGTGCATGTATCTTCCTCCAGAGGGTATGGTTGTTCCCTCCCTTTGCTTGAGTCACCTGGGGCTGCTTGAAGAACAAACAGCCCAGACTGAGTGGGTTGATCAGGAATGCAGGGGGACAGGGGAGCAAGGAGCACCCAAATAGGACCATTTTGGCAGCAGGGTTGAAAAGGGGAGAATAAAGGACTCTTCCAATGGTAAGGGGGGAGCGACCTAATCAAAGACATTGCAGACTCTGCCCAAACAGACAGACAGACAGACGTGTAGCCCCAGACGTACGTTGATTACAGAGTCTTTAAACTTGATATGGAGCCGGTAGTTGGAAATGGCAATGATGGCGTCACTCGCATGGCCCAAATATTCCACACCCTCTCCCTGTAGCACTGAAAATGGAACCTGGAAGGGGAAAGGAGGAGTGTTAAAACCTTCTGGCTGAAGTTCCAAGGAGGCCACCACCCACAGCATGACTTGAACAGGTGACTGAGAGAGAGAGAGAAAATAATGACATCTTAGTCCATGAGGACTTCCACTTGGGAACAAGCTGGAAAATTCTCAAGGTGCTGGAGCAGGGGATCTGGAATCCCCTGAAGATGTTGGACTACAAGTCCCATCACTTCACCCCACCCCACCTAGCATAGTCAACAGTCAGGAATGATGGAAGCTGTAGGCCAAAATCACCTGGGGACAAGAAGGGTTGGAGGACACTGCACTGGGATACAAAAAGAGCAAGGTCACTAAGCCTGTTCCTGGCTCTACAGTTCCCACCATCAGTCCAGCACTCTTCTGGGTGTCTGCAGTGGGAACAGGTCCCAAGAGATGCATGGAAGCAATGGCTTCAATCTCCTCAAAATACAGCCTCGGATTTCTTCTTTTAAAACAAGGAGTTAGGAACATGAGGAGTGTGACACCACACACACAGCACGCAACGTCATGTTGCATTTTTGGAGGAGCCCCCCTCCAAAAATGTGACGCAATGTTACACGTTGTGTGTGTGATGTCACATGTTCGCGTTATGGCGGCAGGCACCCACAATCCTGAGGGTGAGATGGCGCCCCTGCTTCTTCAGAAAGGCTGGGAGAGACCCCCACAAGTCTTTACTTGCTACACTAGATGATTCTGTATATAAGGCAGCTTCTTTGTTTCTAATATGACCAGCCAACTAAAGTTACCTCCCAATTACCGTATCTCCCTGCTATGTGAAGATACATACTGCACAAATACCATACAACCACATTTTAAGAGCTTTCCCCCACCCCCCTTCCCCCCACTCCCCATCAAGGATGTGGGAAGAGATGATCCTCTGAACTGTTGGTCTGTACTGCATTTGAACCGAACTGCTAAATTGTGTTTGTTTCCTCCTGAAAACATCAAGGGGTATCTTCCCATGCTTAAATATAGATCTCCTCCTTTCCTCTTTTTTCCCTTTCTGCTGGTTAACTGGGAAGCTTAACACCTGAAGGCTGGTGTGAAATTGTGCAGGGGATGTGAAATTCTCACAGGACCGTGGAAATCAGAGGGGGAGGGTTTGGAGTGCAATTTAGCTGGCAGCATAAAAAGGGACGCCTCGCTGCCTCACTCTGGCCTTTTAAGTTCTGGGCTTCAACAAGGAACAAGAAAGCGTTCAGAGCCGGCTGCCTGCATCTTTGAAACACCGCTGAGATTTTATGAAATGTGATTTTATTCCCTGGGGGAAGGAGAATATGAAATCATGCAGCAGGATGCCCAGGCTGCCTCTCCCCCCCCCCGCCCCCCGTTACAACTCTCTGTGGCAACACTGACACAGCAAAATTGAACAAGGCTCAAAGGCACATCGGCACATCACAGGAAGCAAATCACAGGGCATACTCTCAAAAGCCTCCTCCTGTAATTTGTTCTCACTGCCCCCATGCATAACCATGATAAAATATATGTATGAGCACCAAGAAGACAGGGAGCCCCAATTCCATATGCAGCATCCCTCTGTTTTACTTGGTTGTTTGAGTTTAATATTCTAAGATCTAGAGTGTGTGTGTGTGTGTGTCAATGCACAAATTTAAAAATCAAGGCAAAGAAAAATATATGCTAAAAATTCAGCCTCATATTTGGAAGTGTAATCCTCCCATGCCAATAGCTGGCCCAAACAATAATTATTACAGTCCTCCTCAGAGTATTTGGGTGGAAAGGAGGCGGCATCAGAGGGGAGCCACAGAAAATTCCTCTCTGTGTGGGCTCTGTTTCCCTGAGGTCACTTCACAGGATATTTAGCTATCATCCCCCCCCAATCCCTTTTAATCCAATATATAATAAATGTGTTCAGAAGTGGTATTTTGGGGGTTTTGCTTAAATCTGCACTGAGTTCACCAGACAAGATCTTGTTCATATGACATTCCAATTACAATGCCCAATTACATGGCCCATGTTGAAATCCAGGTGGTGCAACTACATTCTCTATTTATTAGCTTCAGCTCAGAAGGCCTCTTCTATTGTGGAGGTTCCCCTTTCTAAGATGCACAACACCTTACAGTCTATAAATGCACAGGGAACTTGGACAGTGAATTAACAGTCTCCCAGAACCATAAAATTGTAGAGTTGGAAGGGACCATGAGGTACGTTAAGTCCAACACCCTGCAATGCAGGAAAATTTTGCCCAATGTGGTACTCAAACCCACAACCCTGAGATCGCGAGAGTCTCATGATCTACCAACTGAACTATCCCAGGTCGACATAGAAATTTCTCAAACGCCTTTACAGACAAAAGGAAACCAAGGCTTGGTTGGCCCTCTGAAAGGCATGCACAGAAAACTGTACAACTATTTTAAGACATGACAAAACATGTCTGGGGTCAATGCTAGTCTAACCCAGTAGCCGTTTTCTTCAGCCTTGAACACTCACAAAGATCTCTGTAACCCAAAGATTGAGCCCTTGATAATGTAAAAGCTTTTGTTGTTGTTTAGTCGTGTCCGACTCTTTGTGACCTCTGTTGCTACATATTTCTCATTCTGGGAGCCCAACGTGACTTTTACTGTGACAATAGCTATAATGTAATAATAAAGTCCAGGCCAGCCTGACAGCTTAGGTACGGGAGGTAGTTGTGTTCTTGGCTATCAGCGGCTGATAGACAGATTTGCAACATTTAAAGAGATTCTGCTTCTGGCTGTTCACTGTCCCGGTTCATTGCCAGGAGTGGCTTAGACTGGCACATTAAAAAACAAAAACTCAGGGTCATTAAGGACATTTTGAATTTTCAGTTTCTTTCCCACTATTTCTTTTCTTTTGGTGGTCACAAGTCTCCAGGACATTGCACATTCCAGCAGATTGTGTGTGCTACTCTGTCTGTCCCTGTCCCTCCCTTGCAAAGCAGAAGAAATATGGTGCAGCTCTAGAAGGGACAGAGAACTAGCTCTGAGGAGCAGGGGAAAGGACCAGGACTCACAGAGGTCTGAATGACTCCAGAGTGATAACAGTGTGTCCTTGCAGCAGCAGCAGCAGCTGTGACACAGCTTTGCACTCAGGCTGCAGGAAACATTCGCTTCCAGGAGTCTGGAGGGAGATTTATTACACACCCGCAGTCCTCACCCCTCCTGCCCGGCCATAAGGAATCGCACCAAGCACCATCCAGCCTGCCAGAGCCCCCCAAGTAGCTTACCTGTAAAGACTCTTCTTCCTTGATCAGCTCTTTGTGAGGGAACAAGTCCTTGGCCTGGATGTATTCCAGACTGGGCGGGCCTTCTTCACCCTGGATGCCAAACACAAGAGCAAACGCTCAGAGGGGCACAGCACATTTGCCAAAACGCCACGGGATGCACATCCCAAACACAACACAGATAGACTGCTTGCACACCTCCTGCTACACTGTCACACTTTGCCTCTCCCCTGCAAAAAAAACACACAACAACCCGAAAACAATCTTTCTTTTGCCTACATACAGTATGTAACTTTGCAAGAACACAAAACGACACAGGTTTCCTGTGCAGGGATGAGCCAAAGAAGAGGACAGGCAGGGTCCATACTGTGGGGAGGCTTATAATACTGGCACACTGATACTGAACCATCTGCTATAGTCCAGGACTCAGAATACATAGGAATAACCCTTTCTGCTGCCCCCAATTCTGCCCAGCGCGAATTTATTTATTTATTTTTTACTCAGTAGATTTATGCAGCACCAGATTTTTAAAACATCCATTAAATTCTCTAAAATGTATCCTAAAATATGGTACAGAATAAAACATAATCAGCTTGGGGGCAAACAGCTGACAATATAACCACTCACAATCCAGTTAGCAACCACTACAAATCAGAGTAAGACCCCTTGCCCCCTTGCCCAGGAATAGGCTGGACAGCACAAAAATTCCAAAAATGTAGAGGAGGAAACATTCCTAATTCCTTTGTATAGAAGCACTGTCCTTGCATTCCATCACAAGCCAGTGTGTGTTCCCCAAGATATGGACCGGATCTAGATCCCACCTCCCAAACTAAGCACCCCCCCCTGTTTTAAAACCAAGCAGGGAGATGTCTCTCTTAAAAATAAGACCTCTCCTGATTTCCCTCTGAAGTCTGGATAGCTTCTGTTCAACTCCCAGGCTCATCTCAGTATCCCAGCATTCTTAGAATCATATTCTGCATGCAGTCTCTAAAAATTCTCTAGCCCCATCTTCACTAAATCAGTTTGAAAGTGGCCCAGGGACTCTGGGACAAAGTTATATGCAGATGCTGAGAATTGTCTGAAAATAATCACGAGTTGTAAGAAAAAAAACCAGGTCAAATAAGTCCAGTATTATGTCTCTCCCCCCCCTCCGTCCTGTGGTCAGCAAGACACTTTGGGGGAGGCCATAAACAGTGTGCAAAGGCAAGGGTCACCTGCAACTGGAATCCTGCAGCAGAATGCCTCTGAACATGGAGGTTCTACAAAGCCACTGTGATCAACAGAAACGCAATAGCCCCAGACTCTCAGTGCAAAGCAATGACCATTAAACAGCTTAGAGGTCATAATAATTCATTAAGCAATATATAAATCCTGTCAAATAAATAAATGAAATAAAGCCTGCTGTGTGGTTAAGTCCCCCTTTTTTTCAAGGTATCTACCCATAAATTATCTGCACAAAAGAAATGGGGAATTAAGCATTTTCTGAACAATAAATAATTTTTCCACAGTCTCTTGAGAGAAGGGACCCTTCTTCTATTTTAAACCCATTTTTTACACAAAGGATGCCCATGTCTTTAAGTGTCAGGAACTACCAGAAGTAGAAAATATTTCAAATTCCTAGGAACCAGCATAAATTCTTGTAAGAAATGAAGAAATGGGGAGGAGTGAGCTTTCTAGTCCTGAGGTTAGCTTACTTTTTTTAAAGCTAGAAATGACCTTGTCAATGCCAGTATGACTCCCCATTCACACCATACACTTAAAGCACCCTTATGCCCCTTTAACAGTCATGGCTTCCCGCCAAAGAAGCCTGGGAACTGTAGTTTGTTAAGGGTTCTGAAAGTTGTCACAGAGCTACAATTCCCAGCCATTATCAGTCGCAAAAGTTAATTTTCACTCTGAAAGGCCATCAGATAGAAGTGGAGGGTATTTCCCCCACCCTTTCCATCTGATCTTTTCCCAATTGTGTTTTGTTCTCTCATCTCAACTGGAAGCATAAGAAGAATCTGAAGAAAGCAGGAGGGTGATCAAACTTCTTCCCCAAAAACCAATAAACCAAGGCATCTTACATAGTTGCCCATAGCTAAGCTATGAAATTTGCTCCCACGTGATGTAGTCATAGCCACCAGCTTTGATGGCTTTAAAAGGGAGATAAAACAATCCATGGTGGATAAGGCTGTCAAGGCTACTCGCCATGATGGCTTTGTTCTGCCGTCACTGTCTGAGTTGGTAGACCTGTGAATGCTAGTTGCTGAGGAACATGAGTGGAGATAGCACTGCTACCCACATGTCCTGCTGGTGGGCTTCACAATGGGGCATCTTGTTGGCCACTGTGAGAACAGGATGCTGGACTAGATTGACCCCCTCTGGCCTGATCCCAGCAGCCAGGTTTTTCTTATATTATCTCATGACCTGGGTCTGGCTGGCGCATGTACACATCACAGTTTCAAAGCTTGGACTGGGAGGGTCATGGACACTGTACCGAGTTTTCAGACCTAGCACGGAACCTATTAAAATGTTGGGAAGGGACCAGAGCTCAGAGGCAGAGCATTCACTTTGCATTTGGAAGGTCTCAGGTTCTATGACCATTTTACATTTTACAAGGCAGCAGGGCCAGGATGAATCTCTGCTAGGGGCTTTGGGGAGCAACTGATAGTCAGAAAAGGCATACTGGCCTAGATCAGGTTCCCCCAACCTGGTGCTCTCCAGAAGCTGTTAGACTACAATTCCCAGTAGCCCCAGCTAGCATGATGAAGGTTGGTTGGAGCAGATGGGATTTGTAGTCCAAAACTGCAGGTTGGGAGAAGCTGAAATTGTGGACCACTAACCTGACTGCATATAGCAGCTTTCTGTGTTCATGGGAGCATCTCCATCCTGATGTATACCAGGATGGTCTGGCACATAAAGGCAGTTGTCATATGTTCACGTATTTCAATACTATTGGTCAAATCTAGAATCCACCCACCTACAGTAATACTTAAGAAGACTGCAGTGAAACTAGTTTTAATTAAAATGGGAGAAGCCTTTTAATGATGTGAAAGCCTTGTGAAGTTGAAGCATTTATCCCACCCACCCAAAAATGTTTTGGCCCCATGACAAAAATCCATTTTAAGCTCAGGAGATATTGATTCTGGATGCCCCAACATCTGATCCAATTAGACATACAGCCTTACCTATTCTTGATCTACTAAATGACTGTGGTCTGCCTTCAGACACTGACAAAGACCAGAATTTCTAGGATGCATTAAAACAATTTCTTCCCTTGAAAAATGACATCATCCCTCATTGGAAATTCAGCACTGAGACATTCAAGTTCACCAGGCTCTTCTAAATATACCAAACTAGGTTTTGCTTGCTTTCAAACTTCACAATATGAGCTGCTTCACCTATTATCAAGCACACATTTTATCTTCCCCCGAGAAGGTGGTGGTGATTGGGCGGGAGAGACGTTTAATAGGACAAGGAGAAAAATGTTTTAGGGAAGCTAGTTAACAGTTTCTTCAGAGGCAACTTCAATCAGGGGCTGAGCATTCACTGTTTCCCAGAGAGATACTGTTCTTCAAATTAGATACCTGGAAAATGACTTCTTCTTTTTTTGCTAGTCTAAAAAAAGAAAGGGCTGTGTATGTAGCCCATGATAAATATAGGCCAAGATGGAGCTATTACCTCCTCAGTCTTGAGGCTGAGGAGGCAGTCTCTGAAGTTTCTCCCAAGTTCTGAATGAAGCTTTTAACAGGGTAGGAACTTATTTATTTCTTACATGTATATCCCACCTTTTCTTCCAAGGAGCTTGAGAAGGTGTACATGGTTCTCCCTCTCCTCATATAATCCCTGCAACACATCTGTGCGGTAGGTTAGGCTGATAGGCAGTGACTGGCCAAAGCTACCCAGCGAGAGCTTCGTGGCCAAGTGGCAATTCGGATCCTGGTCTTCCAGGTCAGAGTCCAGCACTCTAAACACTGCACCTCACTGGTGCTCAAAGGGGTGCTCCCTGATGACAGCAGGGAATTCCAAGGGTGGGTTGAGAAGTGTATCATTCCCACCCCCACCCCCTTCTTGTGCCAGCTTAAGGTGGGGAGCGAGCAGAGAGGAGAGTGTTGCTGCTACCTATAAATAAAAGCTTGTCTATTTGGCAGATGGGGCTGGTTGTCTCTGCTGTATTTCAGGTCCGCTGGTAGTTATTACATCCCCCATCTATTTATTGTTTTGGTTTATATTGACATTTAAGGATAACTTATCTATCTTTAACTGTGATTTCTGCATTTCAGGGGGTTAAACTAGATGGCCCTTTGGGTCCCTTCCAACTCTACAATTCTACGACTCCATGTTTTCTGCTGCGCTAAAATGTGGAACTTTTATTTTATCTTATTTGTGGGGGTTTTCAGATGCTGTAAACCCCTCAGCGGCTTCTTTAAAGTACAAAGCAGTATAAAAATTAGCTAAATAAATAAGGAAATATCGTTTCTGAGTCAGAATAATTTTTTCCACAACCAAGTGTCAAACAATCCTTGGCGCCATTCATGGTCATTGTGCACACATGAGCCAGAAGAAGACAGAGGATGGTTGTCATGTACCACGTACCTGTGGTCGTGTTCAATGGGGCAGCACACAATTTGGAGAGGATGCCCAGTTATGAAATTCATGCATAAGTCATTCCATGATAGCAGAGGGAAGGTGGTCTAGGCACCCATATAGGAACCTGGCAAGCAATCTTGGTCTCAGTGGTGGGTAGCGCTTTGCCCTGACTATAACAGCAAAATCTGAACATGGATAGTAATATCAATGGGAATTCAGCTTATCCCCACAAATTAAGGACTCTGGGATCCAAAATGAAATCTGTGACATACATCTTTATAGACAGGCTTATAAAAAATTAATCCACTGGCACAAACCACTGAATGGCTTTGAAAAAAAGTGGCCTCAACATTTGCCTGCCTGTCCTAAGTGCAAAGTGCAATGTACGGAACAGCAAACATTGGCTGCTCCCGTAACCCATGCAGCCAGAGCTGTGTAGTGGTTAGTGTATTGAAGTAGGACTTGGGAGAGACCAGGGCTCAAATCACCACTTGGCAAGAAAGTCCACTGGGCCTCTTAGGCATCTCAGCCTAACCTACCTCACAGGGTTGTTTGGGAATTAAATGAGGAGGGAGAATGTACACCACCTTGAGCAACTTGGAGAAAAGAGTGGGATATAAATGAAATACATGCAATTGCACCGCACCACCCCCCCCAGCTTGCCCTTCCCCTATTCCTAAGAATTAGCACTGGGGTGACCCTCATCCCGGCTTGTCTGCACACACACACACCAATGTCCACTGCAGGATGGATAGTGCTAGGCGACTGCCAACTATAGGTACATGTGCACATGCACACTCACAACATGGATCAAGGATATACCAGCCTTCACCACCTCTTCCAAGAAGCTTTTGGTACAAACCCTTCTTCTGCTCCCTAACACTGCCTTCACTAACCTAGTGCCCTCCAGTTGTTTTGAACTACAACTCATGTGAGCACCAGCATCCTACAACTGTGCTGGCTGGGGCCAATGGGAGCTGTAGCCCTGTATATCTGGAGGGCACCAAGTTGGGGAAAGTCCAAGCACACTTAGCTGATTTTGCTCACTTTGTCCCCGTTATCCTTTCCCAAAGGCTGAAAATCATCTGTTATATTGAGGGCCTGCCTTTCTTCTATCACAGAACTCAAGGCAGTGCACAGAGGAAGGAAGGAAACTCAATAGTAGAGCATCTGCTTTGCATGCAGAAGGTCCCAAATTCAATCCCCAGTCTCTGAAGATAGGATTAGTAGAGACTCCTGCCTGAAACTCTGGAGAGCTGCTGTCAGGCGGTATAGACAGCAGTGAGCTAGATGGGCCAATGGTCTGATAATACATGCTCCTAGGCACCCCAGGTAGTCTCCCATCCAGGCCCTGATCCACACCAATAATATGTGCCTTCATGGACCACGTCCTGGTAAATTTAGGCTGCAAGCTTCTCAGGGGAAGGAAATGCCTTCTCCTCTCTCCTCCCCCATGTTGCTCTGTGTGCAACTATTTTCATAATAATGCCAAGAGGCACATTGTGATTCACCTAATTCTGCACAGGCCCCCATGTCTGCAAGCACTTGACCCACTGGACTAACCTATTATCATGTTTGCACACCTAACAGCCCTCCCCATATATACACACACACACCTGCAAGGTACAGGCATCCGTGTGTGTGATAACAAAGCATCATTCAGTCAGGACAACAACATATAAAACTGCACAACATAGGAGCCAACTCCTAGGGGCCGTGGGGGCTTCAGTCCCAACAATAAAATATTTAGGGGGGGGCGGGCCTCCACAAAGTTGATGGGCATTCCCATTCAAATGGTGTGTGTGCACCACATCATGTGATCAATTACGCAGGGCGGGGCTTGCCTCGGCCCCTACAATATTTTACTCAAGTTGGCACCCCTGCTGCACAACTCGTACTGCATGATACTACAAGGGGATAACTGGCTTCTGAGCCACCATACACACCCACCCCCCTGGGGCTGGCTCCACATTCTACTCTTCTCGGGGACAATCTGTCCAAGTGACTTTCCATCAGAGCTCCTTCAAGAGACAACAGGATGGAGGATGCACTCAGGAAGCCGGGAGGGAGGTTACCGTGCCGCCATGCTGAGTAACTGCATTTGGAGCTGCAGCCAGCTGCTGCTCATGAAGGGTGGGGAGTGGGAATCTCTTTCAGAGGACAGCAGAAAATGGGTGTGAAACAGGCCGCCTTCTCATTTCCCCTCTGCAACCAAGCAGCAGTCAGTGTGAGCCTCTCCTGGTATCAATCAACACGAAGAGGGGGATTCTAAGGGAAGACCGGTGTCTCAGCAAGCCAGGCCCCCTCAACAGCCACCATGTGGCTATGACCTAGAGAGAAGTACAAAGCAAGAGGACCCACAGCCACCAGAAAGAGAGATTTACTCTTGCTGGGTGGATGCACCTTCCAGGCAGGAAATCAAACTTCTGCCTGCCTGCATCTTTGACCCCTATTGCTTTGCTCAGCGGGGGCAGGGGGGTGTCTATGCAACCATTTTGCAACCCCAGTTGGAACGGTGACCTCTAACCTCCAGCTGGGGATGAGGTAAATGCTGGGGGGGGGGAGACAGGGAGTCCACCAGATCAAGGTGAGAGTGAAGAATTGGAGGTGGGATAGCAGAGCCACTCCCCAAGTACTAGGCTGAGAGAGAGAGCTGTACGGAAAGGCCAGACGCCTTCAGACAAGCAGTTCACAAGATGCTCCATTTCCAGACACCTCCTACCCCTCCCGTCTGCCCCCCCCCCCGCAATATCAGACACGAAGAGAAAAATCCAGACTGACAAGCAGCCTTGCAGGTAGGCAGACAGAACAGAGGATAAAAGGGGTGGGGGCGGGGAAAGAGACCCACTTACAAAGCAGTTGAGCATGGAGCAGGAGACACGGCCCGGTAGAGTCATGGTCGCTTCCCGGGGAGGTCGCCGGCTCGGGGGCAGGCAAGTGGCATCGCTTCCCCCTGCCCCCCTAACGACTCAGGCAGGCGGGCAGGCACGCCAAGACATGCAAAGGGCTAGAGCATCTCTGCTGCCGCTGCCGCCAGAGCAGGTGCGCTGGCTGCTTCAGTGGCTGCTGACAATGGAGGGGAGGGGAAGGGAGGAGGAGGAGGAGGAGGAGGGAGAGAGACTCCACCTCTCTCCGATAGAAGCCAGAGGAGGCTCTGCCATGCCAGGGGACTCCCTGACAGCCAAGCACAGAAAATGGAGTCCCTTACAGCAGGGTTCTGGGCTCGGCAACCCTTGCCCGCCCCCTTTGTCCTGGGACTACAGGGGCGGAAAGGAAAGGGGCCAAGAGGCATGTGCTGGAATGCACAGGGAACAATAGCAGCAGCGGCAGTGGCAGCCTGGCTTTGTGTGTTCCGGCAAGAGAAAGACCCGGCCAGGATTCCGCTCGGAGCTCACGTCCAGTCCATGCAGGATAGCCAAGCAGCAGGAGAGCAGAAAAGGGGCATGCCGCTGCCGTGCCTGCCAGCTTTGCTGCACGGCTACCCGGGGCCTGCAGTCTCCTCTGGCTAGGATCCAAAGACTACATGGTTGACATCTCAGGAAGACGCACACCCCGCAATAAGGCACAACAACACAAGGGGCTCAGGCCAAAGCGAGGCAAGGAGGGAGTGTGCTTAGACCTCGCTCTGGCCCCAAAGGAGCTGCCTCCTTCAGCACCCAAGGGAGGCTCAAAATGGGTGGGGGAATTCCCCAGGTATCACTGCACTGATTGCATGGGAAGAGGGGTTCTCTGGACAGGTGGTGGAAGCTGAGGGGACAGCTGCCCAAGCCCGACCTCTTATGCAAGACTACAAGGGGAGTCTTGTTTTGTCACAAGCTAGGGGGGAAAGCAGTAGCTTTTGTGGGGGTGAGAGCACAAGAGAGAGAGCAAGCGGGGTGTAGAGGTTCGAGTGTTGGATTAGGACCTGGGAGATCAGGGTTCAAATTCCCACGCAGCCATGAAGCTCAATGGGGGTGACCTGCCACTCCGCCTAACCAACCTCACAGGGTTGTTATGGAGATTAAATGGGGAGGGGGGAAATCAAGTAAGCCACCTTGAGTTCCACGGAGAAAAACGGTAGGATAAAAATGCAATGATAAATAAAACAAACAAATAATTGCTCCCTTAATCTATGAACCTTGCCAGGGGGTGGGGGTGGGATTTCTGAACTAACAAAGCCACATTCTGTGAGAGGGTGACAAACCACCTTAAGCTCCTCAGTCAGATGCTCAGAAGTAGATGCCCCTCCCATTTCTGGAGAACAACATGCTATACCATCCTCTTCTTAAATTTATTGGGACCATGAGCCCTCAGCACACACTCTCAGTAATCAAGTAGGTTATAACTACAAAACATCTAAAAATAGCCCAAATAAAGGAAAAAAGCCAGGCAAAATATAACACTTTTTAAACCCCACCTATTCAAAGATTAACTCTGCCCAAACTGAAAAGCACCACAATTCTTCTGCATGGGGCAATCTGGGGGACAGGGATTCTATTGCAGCCTACCTTAGCGGCAATCGGTTAAATGCTGAATAATGGTAGAACTTGGGCAGAAGATCAAGATGTTGCTAAGCAGCCTGAGTCCTCCGCTGACATAACTAGAGGACTATGTTGGTTCTGCCTTGTTATTTCCTCTCCAGGTCCCCTGCTAGATCAGGTATTGCTTACTTGGGAAGTAGGGTCCTGCTCCAGCACGAAGCAATGCAAGCCTAGTGCTGAGGACAAATCTAGGTGTTATGCAACAGTCCTATTCGCAGCTCGCTGCTTGCCTCTTTCAAGGTGGGAGTGGGGCATATATATGCAGGGGAAATGGGTTATTTAGAATCAAAGAACCAGAGAAGGGGATCTCCTCTAAGAACTGGAGAAGCACCTATCTGCTGGAGATGCTTCAGGGAATCCCCAAGAGTTAGTTGTCCAGCCTTTCCTTGAAGGCCTCCAACAAGGGAGAGAGCCCACCACTCCTCAAGCTGTTCTTACCAGGACAAGTGCTTGTCCTCTTCTCTGGGACAGCCATTCAGGGGGTTGAAAATTATACTCAAGTTCCCTTCTCTGCCTACCCTCCTCTAGGCTGAACATTCCCAGTCACTTCAATCTTATTTCAGACTTATTTTCCATGCCAGTGACCTCCTTTCTTGCCCTCCTCTGAAGCGGTTCCAATTTGTCTCATTCAAACTCTTACCAGCCTACTGGCCCTCTCTGCAAACACTCCCACCCCCCAGCTGCTTTTATTTCAGGTCCTGGAGCCTTGCCAGAGTGCGGGAGGAACTGACTGGGAAGGGGGTGGCACTGGCCTGGGATCACAGCTGGGCCCAGGAAAGGTGAGGCTTCTATAAAACATCTCCGAGAACTTTAGGAACGTAAGGTAGACATGCCGTTTCACCTCAATTCACGTTTTACCTCACTAAAGAAGCCTAGACAGTGGCTTCCTGCTTGAGGTGCCTGGATTGCTGTAAGCCGCCTTACAAAGAATCATAATACCATCACAATTTAAAGCAACAACAAGTCAAAGCACAATAGAAAAAGAGCTCCCTCACGTCAGAGGTAACCGGGGCTTGTGCCTAGCAGTTGTTCAAATGCAATGAAAGTGAATGCTATCCAGCCAAATACAGATGAAGGCCATTTCATTAAGGTTCTATCAAAACACACCCATACTTCTCATATGACCCTCCACTAGACAACAGCTAGCCTACACTGTCACCGGGGGCAGCAGGGGCGGGACGTCACATACGTGGGCAGATGCCAGTCCCCCGTCTCATAAACCCATCCATAGAAGGACTTGCATGGTGTGATGGCACTTCTAGTGTGCTTCTTCTAGCTCCTCTACAGCTAGAAGAGATCAAGTCACTTGTCCTCACCACCTGCAGCCATCTCCACTCACCTGTGGCTCACAGAGGCCTTGAGGCAGGGGTAGCTCCCAGCTTGGCTACCTGAACACCAAACTATACCTGACATCCATCAGGTAGTTTGCCCTTGAGTGGCAGGTTCCTTCATCACAAACAGCCAGCATTGGTCTGGCCTGGGACTCTATAGGGGGTGGGGAGGGATTAAAGCCCTCCCCTCCCGCCTGCCATTTATTCTAATGGGAGCTCCCCAGCTGCAAATAGCAGGCACAGGAGCCCCTTCAGGGCTGAGAGCAGAAGGCAAAGCCCTTTCTTCCTCCACATGCTAGGGTCTGATCTAGAACTCCTAATCACCCCAACTTTATTGGAAAGCCTACACCTCCACTAAAAAGCAGACCACGGGATTAACATCATATGTAGCTTGGAACAGAAGATCTGGAGATGCCAAGAGCCTTATCTTGGGAGACCTTATCTCTGAAAAACCTGTGCTATTCCCCTCCTGCCTGTGATCTCAGGACGGTAACAATTTTCATTTTTTATTTCATTTAAAAGCATTCATAAACCACTTAATAGTTGAAAATGTTCTAAGTAGCATACAATGTAAAAAAAACCAACAATATCACTAAAACACACAGTAAAAACCAATAAAACAATAATATAAAAGTATATTTTTTTAAAAACAAAACCAGGAATTCAAGGGATTCAAACACATAAAAACAGGGTCCAATTGTACGGGTCAGGGAATAGCAGCAAAGAAGTCTGCACATCTGCTTCTAGCTGGCCTAAGAATAGAAGAATTATTATTGGCTAGGCACTTATAAATTAGAGAAGGGCTGTACCAGGATAGAAAATGAGTCCTGCCCACAGGCTGACAGTCTAGGGTCCTCCTTCTAAAGGCCTTGGGCAGAAAACTGTCCCTCCCAAGCCCTCTACTCGCCAGCCCCTGGTCTCCCCCTACATCTTGCCTTAAAAAAACAGTCAAGCAAGGGGCGTGGGTCATTTTTATGTGGAGAGAAGCATACTGGCAGTGGGCAGAACAAAGGTGGCAGTGGGTGGGGCCACCCCTCTCTTCCCCCCCTCCCCCCTCCAAGACATGTGAACTGATCACTTGCAAGGGACTTTTCTTTCCCCTTTTTCTTTCCTCTCCCCACTCAGCTCAGCTTGTCCCCACCACACAGATATTCCCTCTGGACTCCAGCCACATGAAACCAGGTAGAGGCTGACCTGCCCTTCCTGCCCCCCCAAGCTCTTTAAAGAGGAAACATGTCCCTCCATAAATGACTGCAGCAAGAAAGCTGGGCAAGACCTTCCTACCCAAAGAGAAGCATGCTACAGCCGCCTCCATTCTGCAGCACTTGATCTCAGATCAGCTTCTCCTTAGCCCTCTGCACAGCATTTCTGCATCCTTCAGCTCTTATTGCAAGAAGCCATACAGGCACAGAACCGGCAGCCTCCAGCCACTACCAGAGCGAACCTCAAAACAAATCTGCAGCAGGGCGAGATGGAGACAAGGCAAAACAGAAAGCCCACTCACCATGGTCGTTCTCCAGATGTCGGTTCTCTCTCCGGAGCTGCTGAAGATCCACCTATATTTTTGAGAAAAGGAAGCCTGTGTAGGAACTGGATGTGTTGGCTGCAACCAGAAGCAATGGTGGCTTGGGCCTGCTGTCACAAAGGCCTCCTTCATATGCTCCTTGACACAAAAACACCAAGTGCCAAACCGTGTGAATGCGAAGAGGCTGGCAAGGAGCACTGCACCCAGACTCAAAGTACCAAAGCTTCATCAGAAAGAACACAGGGAGAGTGAATGTCTATCCTGCAACCCTCACCCCCGCCACCATTTTACAATCCATGTAGAAGAAAGTCCACATATTAGCCTATCTTCCTAGCAGGTGCTTCCGGTATGGAAACGTGACATTGCAGATAAGCAACATTAGAGGAAACTTGAGGGTGCCTTGGAGCAAAGGGAAGATCACTGTCCACTATAGAATGCATTTTATGTGCCTTCTGTACATGTAAAAGCTTTGGTCTCAATCTGATGTGATGAAGAGGTACTTCCCAGGACACAATAACCCAGGGGTTTCCAAAGTAGGCAATAGGATTACCTAAAATGCTAAGAGGTGGGGGTGCGGTGCTGGAGGTTTATTTGACTATCAGACTTTAAAAAGCTGGTAACACTGGATCAGGTTCATTAGTTTTGTTGAACTGATTAAACAAAATAGTTCTAATTGCATTTTCAATAAATGTGCAATGAATTGTTTTGAATGTTATTGCATCATTCTCTTCCTTAGCAGGTTGTGCAAACTCATTAGGTTTATGAAATCAAGGGGGCAGTGGCCCCAAAAAGTTTGGGAACTGCTGCTCCTAGCCCTTGCCTGCCCAATGCTTGCTCAGCCAGTCTTGCCATCCAGACTACTAACAACTAGGATTTAA